TTTCTATTGTTCAGGCTCCATTGTGCTCATGAGTGAGTGACAGGGGGATTTGACCACAATGAAGTCTGAACTTTCAGAAACAGCAGATAGCTTTAGTTATTTGTTAAAAACTGTATATGAGATGCTAAGAAAACGTGAGTTGTGAAAATAAAATTGTGATCTGTCTATAAGAAAACTGTATTTTTTTTTTTTAAATATCGCCCACTCCTACTATCGCCATCCATCTTCTTCTGCTTTATCTGGGGAGTCACAAGTGCCATAAAAAAACTTGGGTGCACTTCCATTCCTTAACAATAATTACATCCAATTAGTTCATGATTCTATTTAAATTTGATTGTGTTATTTCAAAACCACAAAAAGGCCACTGAACTTACTGGAGAGGTCACAGTTATTCTTCCTCTCTCACCTCTCCATCTCACACCATCGCTGCACTTAGAAGTGAAGACGCCCTTTGAGCCTTTTTAGCACAGCGTCATGCCATCACACTTCCTTCACACGACCCCTTCACCCTGCATGTGCGAAGGGGTAGAGCCTACATGGCGGGCTGGCGGGGGGACAGGAGAGTGCATTAGACCTCCGGCGTCAAACGGAGCATCAATTAATGAGCAGCCGGGAGCGCGTCCATCCAGAGACACTCGGCTGCAGGGTGCCACACAGGAGCAGGGCACGGCCGCAGACAGCTGGGGACCTGAATAATTGAGCATGGCTGTTTTCAATGTTTAAGTGAATTACAGGCTGAAAGTGGTGTTAAAGAGATTCTTTTGAAAGAAAATAATATGGTCACTGCTGTCATATCACTGTTAACACACTCTGCCCTGCTTAGTCAAATGGTGTCTGATATCTGAAAAAATATATTAAAATTGTCTGGAAGGTGAAAAAATTACTTTCTCATTCACTCAAAAAGTCAAGACGAAAAGCAATTTAGCGGGAGAATGGATAAGTTCACATTTTGACATTTTTGTTCCTACTTTTTGCCAAGTAAAGCTTTATTGTGGCTTTGGAACTTGGCTTTAAAAATGAACTCTGTATAGGGACATTTACTCTCATTTTGGTAGTACAAAATGCAAACAAAATGCAGGAAAGTCAAAAAATAGACATGTTACAAGATAAAGCTTTTAAATAACACTTTGACTGCTTCAATTACTTTTTCCACACAGTAACAGCATGTGTGGCAGTTCACTTTATCTACACTCCAGTGGGCAGTGGATGCCATTACTATAAAATATATTTGTAACCGTAAACCTCTAATAGGTAATAAACAAAATTCCACAGAATAGCAGCCATGATGTTCTGCAGAATCCAGTGGAATCGGCTCAATTTGGTGGCACAAACCGCTCGGTTAGATTTCAATTTCTCTCCCCAGATGAGAGCAGCGGCACACTCCCTGCTCGTGATTTGTCTCCAATATCTGAAAGAGTGGAGTAAACAGTGATCAAAAAGTACTGCAGCCTCAAAGAGCTTACACACGACGCTCACGGGCTAAACAGCCAGGCAGAACCAAACATGGCCAAAAGTCTGAGATCAGATGAAGGTGATATCAGAGACTTTCAATGTGGGCGGCTTCCATGGAGCTGCTGCTGTTTCATTTTCTCCTTCTCACCCTCTCTCTCACAGTGAAACCCAAAGCCCAGGAGAAATTAGTCACAGCGTGCCGTGGTGAGGAAGTATATGCACCTCTATAAAGGCTGAGCAGAAGATGGGAGAAAACACAGCTTAAAGAAATTGTTTACTTATAATTGAGCTGTCTATGTGAAAAAGAATAGAAAACTATTGTGTCCCCAAAAAAGGGCTGATCAATATACACACTAAAAAGGGTGAAGCACAGTTGCCAGATCGGAAAAGAAATGTGTCATATGTCAGGAATATTAAAAAAACTGAAATGTTTTCTGTGTGAACTGAGGAAATACCTGTGAATACAGACAATCTTGTATGCCTTACTGCCATACATTGTTTGATGAATTATGAGCAGGAATATTTTTAAATAAATGCAAACTTAAATGTATTGACGTCTTTTGACTGACAGTGGAGTGTTTGAAAAGATGAAAGCAAAGGATGCACTGCGGCTGCCCTTAAGCTAATTCTATCAGATTCCTTATTTCCATCTTGTCCATCAGATCAAGGAATTTTTTACAAAAAATGTTATGGCACGGACTCACTCGCATTTAAAATAGCCTTGAAGAGCACTCATCTCTGCTATTGTTAAAGAAAACCAATTGGCATTCACATAGGGTCAAAAAATCCAAGCTAACTCTTATGGTTTAGCTGATGAGCAGCAGAAAAGGCGAGGCTCCAATCACGTTCACTATACAGCAGGGGAATTAGGCTGAAATAACAAGCGTAAGAAATAACAGGCTCATTTCTATACAACATAATTGCAATTTTCTACCCAAATTACAGTCTAATGATTACAGACATGAGGTGGAGCTTGACAACAACACCAGAAAGGAGCGGGCGGGAAAAACACACACTGGAAAAGGACCCTAGGGCATCAGAACGGAGAGAAAGGATAGGAAAAAAACTGCTAACAAAAGACGAGAGTTCCTGACTCCCAGAGGAAAATTGGGTTTAGAAGTGGGCTTCTCAAAATCTGCAATCCCCTAACCAGTTCTGTAGGCTGGCAGTTCAGGGTTCCAGCACAAGTGAGGTGCTTTCTGCTCTCCTGGATAAGGAGGTGATGAGAATTCACTGCATTGGCACAACCTTTAGAGTGAAAGGTGCCAAATATAGACTATACTCTGAGTCTAAGAAACACAGAGAGAGAGAGAGCAGCCCGGTGCTTGTCAAAGCTTCAAATCAGCTCCATGGAAGAGTAGATTTCAAAGCTCTGTCCACCACTTAAACTGTATTGTTCAAAGTACACACCAGGCAAGGATTATTAAGGACTCAAAAATAATCCAATGGAAATCCCAAGTCCCCTTTATGTATAGATTTAATATAACCCTGTAGCTGTATCATTGGGTTTATGAACATCAGTTTACTGTAATGTTACCTAGTTGTTTTGATAACTGAAGGAGTTTGTTCTGGCATTTATGGACACAAACACACAGAAGAATCTAGGTAAATAAATAAGAGATGCAGCTGAGCCTCAGAGCATAATCTCTTAGAAAGCAAAAACACAGGATCAGATGGAATAGTAACAGTGTTGTTTGCAAGAAACAATTATTGTCTCTTTGTCCATTGCTACCAGCCTAAAACATATGACATGAATCACAAGGCAGTGTTAGATGAAGCAAAGGTTGTTTTTTGCTTTAAACACCAATGGATTCTTTGGAGCCACTGTAGCTGTTCGGAGGTGGAACAAACTGTGCAGTCTCAACACATTACCTAAAGAACACTGCTGAGCAGCAGGCTTGTGGTGCTGAAATCGTGTGTAATCATGAAGAGATAGATGGCTGACTTTATATTGTTCCACTAAGACAAATCTGCAGAACTGCTGATGAATATAGAATTTCTAAAATGATGCAATGTATCCAAGATTTCACGGTTAAGCTGCGGTGCTGCAGTGCTGTTCTCAGAGACAAGGCAGTGGGCTGTAACATGTATAGTACATATCTTATATAAACTGACACATTTGTCTTGCCACACTCCAGGACATGCAGAAATGTCAGGCTCCTGTGGAGACTTCTTAAAGCTGTGCATTCTCAACAGGCAATGTTCAGCTTTTAAGTACCACAGCCTGTGCAAAGCCTCACAGTGTATAACGCAGACACATCTTTTGTTTTGTCTCGTGCCTACAAACAGCAGCCAGACTCTTATATTATGCCCTATTGATCTGTCAGAGTGAGCAGACGCAGACTGAGAACACAAATACAGCCTGGGGTGGCTCCTTAAAAGTCAAGACAAGCTTCTTATCCACACTTCTCCATTGCTCTAGAATCACCTGGTGGCTCATGCTTATGACTCAGTGCCATGCCTTCTTCAGGCTTTTGTTGAATGCTGCTGAAACTGCAAAGTAATCCATCAGACATGTTTCACAGCCCTTTTCAGACCAGAGTTATGAGTGCAGAGCGAGGACAGGTACAGATGTTACTTTTTCAGTAAGCCTTTGGACCACAAAACCAATTCCACAAGTATTGATGAAAGGACATCTTTTCAAAGTTCCCAATGAAACTTGCTTAATCTCAAATACAGTGCAACTGTCACTGGGATCCCATCTTCAGTAATCCCACAGTGGCCTTTGCTCTGCCTGTCAGCAACAGCGACCAATAACATGGCACAATAAAAGCCTTCAGAACAACAGTGGGCCGCAGGCAGCTTCAAGGGCTACTGACGGCGATCTATAAAACAATATAATGGGTTGCCTGTCAGCGAGTGTGAAAGGGAAGATCTACGCCTCCTCTGACTCTCTGAGGGGACTTCAATTAATCACAGCAGAATTGTATCAGCCGCTATAGGAGTGTAAGGTTATTACCATCCTGGTATTCCACAGGATGAAATGCAATGATAGCACTAATTGAGGGAAGAAAAAACAGCTGACCGCACAATGCTTGTCAAGGGGATGGAGGACAAATAAAAGAGGGAGGGGCAAGGCCAAAGCTGGGCAAGGATTTGGGAAAATTAGTCTTCAAAAGTTTGGCTGGATAAAATAGATATGGATAAATTATTAAATTGCAGATCTTACTATAAAATCAACAGACACATCCTTTAGGCTTTAAACTTCCATTCATCTTAAATTATCATCGAAAATATTCACGTATAGCCTACTTGTGCTTCAGTAAGTCAAACTGTTCAGTTCAGCCAATTAGGGGTAGACTAAAAGCACAGTCCCCTGTTGAATGTTTTAACAGATTTAACACATACACAAGTCCTTTTTATAAGAAAGTAAAACCCTACATACAAAACTGCTACATCACAGAAGTCACTGTTATAGGCTACTAGTAGCATTGGTCGCGTGAGTGGAATTGAACTGAATTGAAACACTGAATCCCAGGTTACATTCCTGTAGCCTAGAAAATAAATTAAAGAGTAAAGAAGTGTGCTGTGTAAAGATGCTATCTTACCTGTCGCTGTGTGCCGTTAATTAATCCCGGGAAATTTCCCCTTCATTTATTCTCCATTGTCAACCACACTAAACACGAGTCTTCTTTAGAGAAATGCCATTTCCATATCGATCTAAGACGTCCCCCACCACAACACATTTAACCTAAAACACAGGACGCGTGTCAGAGCTCAATCCACGACTCACAGATTTCTCATGCGCGGCAGCAGCTGGTTACTTGGACTGGAAGAAAGTCTATAAAAGTTACTGGTCCGTGCGGCACACCGCCACAGCGGCACAGCGCGGCCGACACTCACTCATAGTTGGGAGGTTGGAGCATGGTGCGCCTCCGGGTCTTCCTCGCCGGCTCCTCTTGCTTTTCAGTAGCGTCTTCGTGCAGTTAGAGAAACTGATTTGAGATGTCCGAGAGACGCGAGGAGGGATGCGAGAGCACCGGTGTAATGACAGACAGCGCGGTGCAGGGCGGCACTGAGCGGGGCTTTGGCGACCCTTAGTGGCGGCGGGAAACTCTACACCACATTTCTTTCGATAAGCAAATAATTCATACATGCGGAGGTGAGTAATGTTAGGACAACTTTCAAGATATTTCCGCGATCATTGCCAAGCATATATTGAATAAATAAATTAAAACAAAACAAAAAAAAAATTATAAAAATGTTGCACAATGTTGTTTAGCCGGCACGTGGCATGCCAAGACCTGTACACTATACACTACACAATTATGATCATTACCTTTCATGGAAAAAAAATTAATGCGGCAGAACACTCCCATTATATAGCTGATAATTTTGCAATATGTGAACATTTCATAGCTCAGCACGGCTTTGAATTACGCTAGCTTACTTTGCTTTAAAGCAGGGGTGTCAAACATACGGCCCGGGGGCCAGATCCGGCCCTGCAAGACCATCTGGCCCTCGGCTGATTTTCTACTAAAATATTTTAATGATATTTCCTATTAAAATATTGGTAATTTTCTGTGGTGTTTATCACAGCAGCGTTTCCAGTGTCTCTGTGCGTGGCCCCTCCCACCAGAGCAGCACAAATGAAGATTTGTCTCTTTCCAAACTCTCTTAAAGGACGATCGTTTTGACTGTTGACCGTGACACCCTCATCAACAAAATGTCCAACATGAGAAAAGTGGACGTCGAGAGCAGGATTTCCCAAGAAAAAATTACTTATTCCTATTTGCATACAAGTTAATTGCATTTTTCTTAAAGTTTCAGGTTGTTCATAATATTATGATTTTTTTTTAAAGAAAGAATTCATCAATTAAAAAAAGATTTCTGTAATAGATTTGTGTTTCTCTTTACAAATATTTGAACATACTGCTATTTTTGGGATGAATATGCTATGGGTTTTCTGATCCGGCCCCTTTAGGATCAAAGTAGGTTGGATACGGCCCCCGGACCAAAATGAGTTTGACACCCCTGCTTTAAAGGGTCCATATAATGCTAATTTCTGCGCTGTTATAATGTTTCCCTCGTTACAAACCCAAAACATGCTACATAGGTCTCCATAAACAGTTGATAGCCATGGTCAGTTAAAATACAATCAATTCAATCATTGTGTCCTTAGGCAAGACACTTCGCCCACATTGTCTAGTATGAAAGTGGTGTGTGTGTGTGAGTGATGGTGGTGGTTGGAGGGACCGATGGCGCCGATTGGCATGGCAGCCGCGCCTCTGTCAATGTGCCCCAGGGCAGCTGTGGCTACAATAGTAGCTTACCATCACCAGGATATAGAGTGAATGAATAATGCTGAATAATGCTCTGTAAAGCGTCTTTGGGGACAAAAAATGTCTGTGAAAGCATTATATAAATAAAGACTTACTTACTAACTTACTTACAAACCCGGAATTGTGTTTTGTTTCATTCACAGATGTTTCACACGCAAACTGCATAGTACTTCTCTTACATGGAAAACACTCTGTTCCACTCTGTGATGTCATGCAGTAATACAGGAAGTGCTCCCATGTGTCCCATACACTTTCTCTAGAATCATTTAGATCAGGGGTCTCAAACTCAAATTACCTGGGGGCCACATTAGAGAAAGTCTGAGTGAGGCTGGGCCGCATTGAGTATTCGATAAATAGCGGTTGCACGGGAATAAAAGAGAGAGAAAGAACAACATGCAACACACTTTCTTAATCTTTAATAACAGTTCAGAATATGAAAATGCATTCAGATCGTAAGTTTAAACTAATATGTCTACTCTTCTTCTTTTGCCTACTCCTTGCTGGTTGAAACCTGACTACACTTCATCTTGTACAGCTGAGAGATATTTGGCTTGCAGGAGGAAGCATATGAGATCCTCAGGATAGATTGAAGATGCTCATCAGTGAGCCTTGACTTGTATTAGGTGCTTTCACACCAACAGTATTTGGTGCGCACCAAACGGTCCATTCGAACCAGAAGTGGTTAGCTCGGTTCGTTTGCGTTGGTGTGAAAGCGTCAATCGGACTCTAACCCGGACCAACTCAAGCGGATCGAGACCTCAAAAAAGAGGTGGTCTCGTTTCGCTTGAATCCGCACCTCTGGTGTGAACGCGAACCCGAGTCCAAACCATAGACAGCAGGTCCAAACGAACTATTCGAAATGCATCATGGGAGAAACGCGTCCCCTTTGCCTGTAATGACGCGCTGTACGACTCCAGCGCAGTAACAGATTGTTGTCCAGACGCAGCCGCGATTCATTTTCGAATTATTTTACCAACAATGGCCAATAAAGAGAATGTAACACACGAAGATCAGAGCAAGTCAAAAATGGGGGTGTGTATTTCTGTTCAGGACCTGCACAGAGGTCCCGGTGTTCCCCGTGATCATGTAGGAACCAGCATTTGTTATTTTCGGCTTTAATTAACCAAATAATTTTATGGCAATAGGCAATCGCCCATTCAACTGATTCACCTTTAAAAAATGTCCTGCTTTTAGCCTAGTGTGAGAAATACAGTCGGACTAGATCCAAACCCGAGTCCCGAACCAGCAGGAGCAGCTCCGGTTCTGTCCGGGCTCAGATGGCGTAGAGCGGGGAGTGAAAAGCGCTTTCCCCGGGAAGAACCAAATGCGCGGAGGACGGACACCAACTAAACTGGATTCACGCTTCTGTCCGGATGCTTTGCACCACCTCGGAACCAGCCGCGGTTCTTGAGCGACAGGAGCAGCAGCGCATTCTCACTTTCCCCGCACGGAACCAGCGCGCAGACGGCGGAACGTACCCGCTCAGACCCAGTCATTGCGCACTGGTCTTGCTCGCCACCGTCTGGAACCAGCACATGGAGGACAGAGCCTTTGGACCATCTGACCAACGCGCTTGTAGGACGACAGAAGACCAAGGACCAGACCCCAGCCCCGTCCTGAGGAGCTGCGCGCTACTATGAACGCTGTTGGCTTCTGCTGTTACCCGAACTCTGGGCTAATGCGGTGAGTTTGTAGAAAGTTCTACATGTTGCTGTTTTATGAGTTCATGGTGATAAGATGAGGACGGCCCGCGGTATTAACAGGGAACATCAGTATTGGTTACTGGAGATATCGCTGTTCTACCGGGATACAGAGGCTCCTTAATCGGACCAGTTTTGGTTCGTTTGCCGGTGTGAAAGCGCCACACTGGAGTGTATCTGCTTCTCGTATGTCAAACATGGATGGAAGACGCTTGTTTTTGCCTCGTAGTTTTTGCTAACATGTCGCCAAGCCTCTGGAATAGATCAGTGCAGTTTTGTGGTGCTTGCATATTGATGGGACAGCTGTGTTTGCCACTGAGTGCGCGTGGATTTCGGCGACGCACAGGTGGAGCTTGGTCATCGGGTTGCCAGCAAGTTACGCACCGAGTGTTGAGCAGGTAAACAGACTGTCAATGTCTTTTTATTTCTTATTAGCCCCTCCAATAAAGGTCCCATACTTATGAACAGGGGAATTCCGTCAGCGCCTCCTCTGCGCTCTGATACTGTGGTTGTGGGAGCGTAAAGTGAAGTGCGCACACGTGTACCACGATGTGTGGTTTGTTTTGGTTCTTCGGTGACGCCGTATGTGCACGTGTACTCGTATTAACAGATCCACTTAGACTCGTTGCTTCACAACTGCTGTAAGTTGAGTTTTGTGATGTAAACTGCGTTAATAATCTGTTGTGAATCTGCATGGGCACCGATTGCAGCTTCATCTGTCAGTGCGGCCCGCAGTGGAGGGGTGGGATTGTGCGTACATCTACCGCGGGCCGCACTGACATTATTCTTTGGAATTAAGTGGCGGGCCGCAAAAAATCCTTCCGAGGGCCGCAGTTGGCCCCCGGGCCGCGAGTCTGAGAGCCCTGATTTAGATGATTTTAGCTTTGAAACTGCCCATTTCTGCTCTACCCATCAGAAGGTAAAAGGAGCTCTTAACTTGAAAACTGCTTCATGACATCACAAGGTGGAACATAGCATTTTGAGCTTTGGAGATGCAGACAGAGTAATATGTGTGAATGAAACAAAACACAACTCCAGGCATGTTTTTGAGGAGGTAACAGCATTATAACATCTCTCAAAGCTCACATGAGTCAATTTTCCTTGATATAGCTTTGCTTCCACAGACAAGCCATCACCTCGCTAACTGGATAGAGCTGGAATTGACTGATACCGTAGCAATAGCATGAATGTTTGAATTTGATTATTTGTGCCTCAGGTGTGTTGGTTAATACATTTTAAGCACAAGGTATAAAAATCTTCACTACAAAATAACAATATACTCTACCGTTTTCTGTTTAAGCTTTCATATGGAAGAAGAAAAAAACGTAAGTGTAAATAATATGAGCTGATCTGTGAAACTAGGTTTTTGGGAATGCAATAATAATAATAATAATAATAATAATAATAATAATAATAATAATAATAATATACTTTTGACTGTTCATTGCTGTCTTAAAAACACTGGTACACCTGGGTGCCTCTGAAATCCCACTTCTTCTGGCTTATACTTATACCTGAAGCACATGGTCTACAAAGTCTTCCCTCCGGTAATTGCATTATCATCTCTCCATTTCTCTGGCAGTCACTTTCGTCTGGACCCTGAAAGGCAGAGATGGGTGGAATAATCGATAGACACCTTTGAAATAGCCTGCAGAGATGGGAGTCTTGCATTTGGATGTGGATTTGATTGATCTTGGACACCCTCAGAGTGTTATCATCATAAAACCCCAAGCTATCTTCCTTGTGGGCAGAACAACCCAACACAACACAAAATGCAAGGTAATGCAGTGGTATGTGCACAGTGATCAGCACAGTGCATGGCTGTGCTAAACCATATTGCTTAGTTTACAAATAATTTAAAAATAATTAAATTAAATGCTTACATTTGCTCTTGTGATAATGATCTTATAAATTATAAGATATTAATTTATACATTTTGTGATGTGGGTGAGCCATGTTTCCCACAGGTTTAGTCATTCCTTATTTGAAACATTTTATTGCTGGGTTTTAGATAACATCACAACATTCTCTATGCCAGGGCTTCAAGTTGGAGACCCCTTCTATAGACCACCCTTACTGTATCTTATACAGGTGGGGGCAGGTAAAATTAATATTATTAAAGTTAAAATATTTGCTGTACTATAGCTAGTTCTAGGGTATTATAAATTATCTGGTTCAACATTTGTGAATTTACCTTAGACTTTTCTTCTCAATATAAAACTGGCTCTTGCCTTTTTGGAGAGAATCTGAAAACCACCAACTGAATAAATGTTTTTAAACTTCCCCTTACTGCCTCTGTTGATCAATAATGGGCTAAATATTAAAAAAAGTTACTTCACTTTTTATCACTGCCCCATTAACAGGAAACACAGGGGTGAGAGAAGCACAGTGTCCAACTGTAAATATGCTGTCATTTTCTATGATTTATTGATTTTTTGCTCTTGTAGGTCCCCTGTGGAAGGAACTTTGCTTCACATTTACATAACACTCGCTGTTAATTTACTGTTATTTACTGTCACGTCATTTATTATTAGGTTCCCAAAGTCATCAGGTTCCCTTCTCCATCTCCTCCGACATCCTGACAGAGAGGAGATGACCTCATTAATCTTTAGTGCATTCAATAGACCTATCTTGTCATCCTCTGACACTGTGGTTTGCGACACTGCTCTGCTCATTAAATCATGTGACAGGATGAGGTCAGCTCAGAGCCGAGGTGTCTCCAGCTGTGTGGGCTCAGATAAACCCAGTCATATTCTCCCCTGTTATGAGGAGGACAACAAAAGCTCTGCAACTGCTGCAGTGGTGGTAATTGGATAGTTTCAATTATTTAGTTATTTTTCATGCAATATCATTTTTTAAAAGTTCAGTACAACTTGGGTAACATTAAATTGTAGCTCTACTACAAACTTATTATGGTACTGGAAAAAAATGTTGGAATTGAAAACTGTAATGAAGAAAATAAGTTTCTATGCCTGCATGGTCCTGAGACAGCTCTATCTACCTTGTTTTTGCCTGCCACCTTTTAAATCTGACCACTACTGATCCGTAGGTTTCTGATGGCACTTCTAGTTAAATGGGAATCCCATTTATTCCAATGAAGAACTGATTGGAGCCACTGAAATCGTATATAAAATTGCTTGATTTTTGTAAAATAATCAATATTCATGTCCACTAAGAAGTGAACAATGCACCCTTTCTCTGGGTGGCGTGAAAACTGCTTTGTCGTCTGTAACTTATTTGCTGTCGAGATGGGCTGCTATATGCAGAATCAGACAACTGGAAGGAGAGTTACAATTAGTGGCGGTACCCTTGGCAACTTCCTGAAGAAGGTTATGTTAGGCTTTCTTGGCAGTCCTTATTTATTGTTCAGGTACCAGTAGCTGAAACATGAAGCGGTGCTATTATTTTACATTAATCAATGGCAGCACTGGCTGTAAATAAAATGCAGCACATGTATTTGCCCAGCAATTTGTCAAATGCTGAAAAGCAGAGGTAGTCATACTTCAGCCATGAAACTTCCTGACAACAGTTGGAGGTTCCAGCTGTGAGATGCCAATGCCTCCTGTGTAAATGAATGAGTGAGTGAATATAATGATTACATTTAATGATTACATTTATTTAAAAATCTAAAAACATCTAAATAGCACCATGTTGATTTACAATATAGATTGTATTGCTAGAAGACAATCCGGCAGTATTTCTGATATCTGACAGGTAATACCTCTACGTATGTTTCACAACTTTACCTCACCTCCCCATACTTGTCTGTATGTGATTACTTTGAGTCACTGAGGAAAAATAGACTTGTGTGTGGGCTTTGTGGTCCAGCATTGATTTAGGCTTCAGCCTAAAATAACAGCCCCCTGTTGTGAGCAGTACAAGCCCTCTGCCTGAACTCTCTCTCGCTTTTGCAGTGCAAGTGTATTTGAAGATGGTGAGACGTCTACCAGAAAATTGCAAGACGAAAAATAGCGGGCATAACAGCCTCAGGAATGGAACTAGCCATCAATAATGCAGAGGGAAGCCACAGTTAATGCCCCCTTAATTCAACAGGTCTGCAGACAGCGGGATGGTTACGGTCGCAGATGTTCAATGAGAGTCAGCTCCATCAGGCTTTATGGCTTTGTGTAGAGCGGCTGTGCCAGGACTCCCCCTGACCTCAGTCCTGATTACACCACCATTAATGTGTTTTCATCTCAGCCCCATCGTAATGGAGTTTCCAACTTTCCAAGAGCTCTTTCAGACACCGGTGGGAGCTGTAACAAAAGAAAGAAGAAATAACTTTGAGATACAGACAGACGGATTGAGTCAATTTAGAAGAAATGTTTCAGGACCTAACCAAACTGTCTACAAGACTGCATTTCAGCAGTTGTGATGTTTGGAGCCTATATGTAAAACCACAATCTTCTTTGTGAATGCAGCGTGCCTTACAGTCATCTTGAACATCTCATTGGCTACAGCTTTGACATTTCTAAATCACGTGGCAAAAAAACACTTGTTTGAAGTTCAAACTTTGGAGGAAAAATAATTTTTATGTTATATTCACATTCCTTAAAACTAAAATTACTCCCAATTAAATATCACATTACAATGAGATATGATGAGCCTTACAATTAAATTAATATAAAATTATATAATGGTTTTATCAAATAAAGAAATGTTTTCATTTGTTCTTTGTTTTCAAACTTGTGTTTTGACATCTTATATACCAAAACAGGTGAGATAAAGGTATCTTTAATTTGAGCACATGGCTGTTTATTGTCATCTCACAAAATCATAAAATCAATCGCAAATTTCATTGGAGCTTTTTTAGTCTCAACAAAAATCACTTTTTTACGTTGAATTGTTTCATTGTGAACATAATACTCTGGCGCTATCTTCTGGACATGAACTGTTAATGCAGTCACTCATGTTTCAGTAAAAAGGTTTATTGTCTAATGTACCTCAAAATGCAACATCTGTGTTATGTAAAACAGAGAAAATATAGCCTACTAACTGTCCAGTTGTTTTCAAACATCTCTGGTATTTTTTAAAATAAACATGCTTTACTCAAAATGCAATATATATGCTATATAGTATGCAGGGTGTAGGCTATCCATGTTTATTTTATATTTCTTTGGCATAAAACGACTAGATGATTAAGCTACATTAGATTCAGACACATACTTTTATTGAGTATACCCATGGTACGGGGAAGGACATGTTAATATGTGACAGTTATCACTTACATTAAGCTATACTGTTCCCACACAGCCTTGTAAAGAGACTCCAGTTTTAACATGGGCCCTGTCCAACGATGGGTGCATGTTTACTTGTTGACAGCTCTCTAAAGACCAATAACAGTGAACTTGAACTATCAGCCGCAGATGGCCTGGGTCCTCTGATAACATTTTATTTGATTATGTAACACAAGCAGACTTACCCTGAAGCAGTGTCTATAAGTGGGTCAAATCAGTGCTTTTCATTCAACAGCTTGTTTCAGCAGGCCTAACAGGAGTGGGCTATTTGCAAGTTCAGTTTCCAGCTCTTAAGGCTAAACATGTTTGAAGATTATGCTTGCTGCATAATCTTGATGATGCTTTAAGAGTAGGATTTTGTGCATTGTAGAGAGAAAGTCCATGTGTAAACTAACACTAACACTAACCTATGGACAAAATTCATAAATTCAAGATGAATTAGATAGTATTTAGTATAGGCTTTGATAAGCCACAGGTCTACCTTTTTTACTTTAAAGGATACAACACGTGAAAGATACGTAGGTCCATAAACTATAAGACATGGATGAACTTCATTATCCTTGTTCCTGTTCACATTTTGAAGGCTATAGCAGGAAAAAAAGGTTAGACTTGCAATAGGCTATAGTGTTTAGTCACTAACCAGTCACAAATAAAATAGAGGGCAGGCACAATCATATCTGATTATAGGTCTACAGCCATGGCTAAATGGTTCGCATTACGCCTCCAGCGTAGCTGGTATTGGTCTAAATGAGTGGTGAATTGGAGGCAGCGTCAGTGTTGTTATCGTGATGTAAACGTGAGAGCGGAGTGCACATCTGTAGCCCTGCCTTCTCAGATGAGCTCTACCTCCTGCGGGATTACAGGCTGTGGCTGTCCTCCGCTTCATTCTGCCTCAATGAAGAAAACGTTGATTGTGTGAATGCTGTCATACGGACATGAGAAGGATTAAACAGGGCTCCCTGAAATGATCCTTGTCACATTTGGCGCTGCGCATTTTTCCTCTAAATCGCATTGCGTCTGATTTGAGTGTTTGGCTCCACTGCGAACCGATGATGATCAGCAAAGTTAAGAACGCCATGTCTACCTTGGTGGGAGGGATGATGCCTCACGGACACCACCACAACCATCACCCAGGTGGCGGGCAGCACTGCGCTGGGGACAGCCTGCCTCCACGATTCCCCTACGGCCGACCGGACTTTCTGGAGCTCACCCCGGAGCTATTGCAGTACTCCACTGAGCACGCGTCGCGGCCGGTGCTAACATTAAAAAGAGGCAGCAGGCTCCCATGGAAAACTGGATACGCTGAGTAAGTCATCAGCAATCAAACCCAAATCATTATGTAACTCTGAAATACGACGCCACGGCTCTTGTGCTACTGATAATAACCCTCTGCAGTTTAGCATCTTCTGCACTGCAGCAGCCAAATGATGACCAAAATGGCCTTACGCGCGATTCTACTGCACTTAGCCTACCAGCTTTAGGCTGAGGTCTGGGGAAGGGGCTTCCAGAAGCTGTATTTGAACAAAAGAAGTATTATGCTAGATGTTGCGAGTATTTAAATGAATAGACAAAGGTGCTCCTAAAAAGCTGTAGCCTACATTCAAAAGTGAAAGCAGGAAGCAATAGATTCTAGATCCTCCGACACCACCAGCAATAACTACGATTCCCATCCCAAAAGAACCCATGGAGATTTTGCTCCAGTAGGATTTCAGTTGTGCTGCCTTTACAAAATGCTAACTTTATGTTTGTTCAATTATTATTTTTACACTAAACTATTTGGATTCGCCTGGCTTTAACCTATAACCTATAAGTAAAGTCTCCAAATTCCCAGTGATGATAGTAAGTTGTCCCATTGTCCTTGTGGTTACATACCTGCAGTAATTCTACAGGTAACTCCAATGCGGTAACTCTATTGGTCAGGTTATTGTCAGGTTGCAGGTGGAGCAAATGAGGAAAACACTTCTGGACAATCCCCTCTCCCATAGGGGGGTTATTACATGCTTCAATATAACAGCATGTGGGCTATTACAGTGCAAGTATGCTGACCAGTGACCACCTCTTCTGGTACCATAATGAAAACAAAGACAGATGAGTCATGCAGAAAGTAAGTCTCCAAAGACACATGTGGTGATTTGCGATGACAAGATCTAGAGTAGTGGCATACTCCTGTATACAGCACTTTTAAAGTTATGAAAATCTTGGAATCATTTCTCTTTACAGCAGAATGTGCACAGACAATTCAAATCCAAACTTAGCCTGTTTATATTATTTTCTTGGAATTCCTTGACTCTTGTAAAACTAAAAATATATTATTAATTAAATTAAAGCTATTATCTTTTAATATTTAGCTTTTAATTTAACATGTATTTATACTTCAACAAGGTTCAAACAGTTGCAAGATGATATAAAATGAAATGAAACAAAGTAATAATTAAACAATGTAATTTGTTTAGTGATGTAAGTGATAAAGACAGTGCAGTTCAGCCTTTTGAGATGGGTGATGACTGCTCCTAAAATTGAGTGTACAGCATTAGGTCAGACTCAACACATGAAAGTACTGTCTGCAGAACACGCTAAGTGCTGTTGTAAAATGGCAACTTAATTTAATCTGGAGGCATCCATTTATTCGTTAACTCCGGAACCACAGTGTGAGGAAGATGCACTCAGTCAGCAACACCATTGTACAGAAAGACGTGGGCTTTATGTACACTGACCCACTCAGACTCAGCACTGGGGCCCTGGAAGTATCACCTCAGAGTGAACAGACCGGAGTTTGTGTGAGCATGCATGTTTGTTAAGGGTGTGTTTGAGCCACAAGAAATAGTACAATGGAATAAAACTCAAAAGACTGAAACTAGGCCTGATACAATAACACATTTTAAAGCACAATATATTGCTACAGAGATATAAGCAATAATATTGAAGCTACTTTATGCCACTGACGCAATAACAATGACACAAAATAATCTCATTAAACATTTTTAAATAGATAGTATCATTAAGTGGCATGAGCTGCAACAAATAAATAGCAGAATGAACCAATAATTAGGCACAGAATTTACTTTTTCAACCTTCTACAGGTAAAATCTTATCAATAAAATAGCTAATATCTCCCTGCTTTTACAAAGAAATTGTACACACAACAAACTTGAACCCCAAAATATAGTAATTATCATGACAGAACTAACTGAAACAATGAAACTACTGACACTGAGTTGTGAGTGCATTTGAGCTGGTTTAACTTTACATTCTGGGGCATTTAAAATTAAAGAAAAAACTATACCTCAGTTTGCTTGATGAACCTTAGAAATATACACCATACATTTCCTTAAAAGGTCAAACAATAGCAATGTGCAAATTCACTGACACTCACAACTTCCTCTTTTCACTCTTTCTTACATTACAGTAGGGCTGGAGGAATTTAACAGTGTGTTGTCACAAGTATGACCAATGTTGGGTTTTTCTGTCACAAGTTGATGAAGCATATGACTGAAAAACGCACCTCTCTGTCATTTTAGAGGCTCCAGCTCCTCATATAGACCATATATACAGTCTATGATATAGACACAGCACATATTTAGTGCACCATGAAAACCATATTTAGTGCATCATGCAGCAGGCTACACTTATCGTGCATTCCACAAAATACTGTAAGCACTTTTAAAATTGCCTGATAGTACCTATTAATGAATGTAGCCTGTTACCCTTTTAGCTAACAGGCCTCCAGTGGTCAAAACTATGTATCCAGTATTTGTGCTAAGCCCAAAGTTCACAACAATTTGTTGGTAGCAGTATTCTGCTTTCAGCTATTTAGAAACTGAAAGGACTCTTTATAATCCAAATCTGCCCTGTACTTTGCATTTTCATATTTGCTGCTTTGGCAGAGCTACTTTCTGTTATAATGATGATGATTTTTGATCTATTTTGATAATCATTATACTGAAGTTATTACACACAGAACACAACAGAAACAGAAACATTATACACACAATGAAGAAAATAAGTTTAACATGTTGTTGGGGAATCTCAACTACTTTTTACTGAAATCACTTGGTTAGCAGCATACATGATAACCAAGTAAAGACTTTATCTCCCATCAAAGCTACAGATGTTACATAATAGTTCAGCATATGGGTCAAAGCGAGGGACTTGTGGGCCATGAAAAATTAGTATATACTGTGGGTAAAGTAAGTCTCTTGCCATGGCTCAGTGCCATGGTTATTGACCCTCTTTACCATCTGTGGCAATTGTAATTATCAGGCATAAGTGTTCATTGTGTACAGAAAAAACATATATACTTTGAACCAGATAGATGCCAGAGTTTCAAACGCAGAAGTACTCTATATAACCCAGTACCTTGTGTCAGCTCCTATTAAAAACACTTAATCCCTTCTAAAAGTTCCCACTGGGACATGAATGCCTCCCATCCCATTTCTGCTCAGCATAGCCCCTCTCACGTTCCTTAATATTACAGCTACTCCCATTATGATTTCATGCGGTTAGAAGCTTGAGAGCAAACACCATAAATCATCTAAGCTCTTCTCTTTGTCTTCTCCTTTACTCCACCAGAGTGATCAATGCAGGGAAGAGCATGCTGAATGAGGACCAGGCCTCTTGTGAGAAACTCTTTGTGAAGAAGCCTAGTGGAAAACACCGCAACTCCACACTGATGGAGGATAATGGGGTGAGCCAAGTTCAAACTCCCAAACATTAAGAAGTCTGAAGGACAAGGTCTACCAAGTTTGTGTAAATTTTCATACAAATTGACATACAAGCAAGTTAAATAGCAACCTTTCTGGACTTTTAATTTTTTGTAAAAGTTATGAGACCACTCCTGGACAAATGAGGGATTGCACTGACTTCTCTCATACAAAAGTCTGTTTCACTTCAGTTCTGACTACTTGTGAAACCTTGAGTTTCTATTTTTTTCTGTTTTTTACGTCTTCAAAAACATTTCGGCATTTGTGTTTTGTTTCATTCACACGTTTGACTAACCCTTTATTATTAGTCTGTCTACATCTCCAAAGCTCAAAATGCTCTGTTCCACCTTATGATGTCATGAAGCTGTAATTTTCATGTTAATAGCTACCTTTTACCTTCCTTCAACAGAGATTTGCAGTTCCAGGGCTGAAACATCCAAACAATTCTAGTGAGGGTGTATAGAGTTTAAAAATACAGTGGAGCACTTCCTTATCACATGACATCACAAGGTGCGACAGAGTGTTTTCTGCTTGAGAGAGGAAGCCTGCCTGATTATACAGTTTGTGTGTCAAACGTGTGAACGAAACAAAACAGAATGTATGTTTTTCAAGTATGTTTGTAATGAGGAAACATTATAACATACATCAGAAAAAAATAATAATATAGGACCGTTACTCACAGGGCCAAGGCCAATATTAGGGTCACGAGCACCACAGGGCTGCACAAATAATTTATTGCAGATTTGCAGATAATATACAGATTCAGGCACTAGGTATATGATGTAGAATTGTTCAAGGTACTGGAAAATACAGAGCTTGTGTCATTTGGTTTGTTTGGTTTAAATGAATGACATCATCCTTTGTATACCCCTCCTCCACGCTGGTCAGGGGGAGGCAGATGTCTCATTCTGTTCATCTGTTAGTTGGTTGGTCATGCCAACTCACAAACACAAATGTGGCAAGGCTGTTTTATTACTCATGCAAAAGAATGTTAATAACAAAGTTGTGCTACAAATGGTTTTGAGTTCATATTTGAGTTGGCCATTTAAAAAAAAATTCACCCCTTATGAAAATGCCAAAGGATGTGTGCCTGTATGTGAACCTTGGATCAATTAAAATTCAGAATTTATTTTTTAGGATGGTACAGGGATCCCTATGCACTTCTGGGGAGTATTTGATGGCCATGCTGGCTCTGGAGCTGCTATTATGGCCTCTAAGTTGTTACATAGACTCATCCGAGATCGCCTTGGAGAAATCTGCCACCTGCTGGAAAACCCTAATAGTGCACCTCCAATCTGCCTGGCCAAAAATGGAAACGCCTACCAGGTAGATGCAAAGAAAGGGCCCCCCCAGGAACCAGAGGATCCTGACGCAGTTTGCGACTCCACACTTCGCTTCCACATGGAGAAAACTGTGAGTCTGGAAAGTCTCGTCATGGGAGTCATAGAAACGGCTTTTAAACAGATGGTGAGTGTAACATAACTAAAATCAAGCTTGTTAGGCCTCAACGATATGTAAATGTGATTTTTCTGACAACTATTGCAATTGCAATTTATGTTTTAATAACAGGATTCTGTTCAGTGTTCACATTTTAAACACAGGAGAATTTCCAAAAAGACTATAGCCTTATGAACTAATAACAGAATTACATGTATTTCTTGCTCAGAATGACAGGTTTCTTACTGCAAGATAAATGGAAACTTCTATTTAAATGCAATCATCATTGTGTAACAGGCTTCTAGGCTTCTTTGCTGACACTTTAAAATGAATAGCTTTGCAAGCTTGAATATTTAGTAATTAACAATGATAATACAGCATCACTGAGGTCGTGGAGTCCTTGAAACCCTCTATTTTTGAGTAGCAGATCAGCTTTTTGTCGAGATGTATACATTATTGTGTGAATAATAAAGCCTCTGAGGTGATGAGATCTAAAGTGGATGCACTACACTGTGTGCATAATTATTAGGCAAGTTGCATTTGTTGCAGGATTCATCTTATAATAACAACTACAGTGCTCTCGGTCAATTTAAAATGTTAATAAACCTCAACCTGAATACCGAAGAAAGTAAAAGTTAAGATTTGGCTTTCTTAGGAGAAAATCTATGTGTGCACAATTATTAGGCAAGTGGGTATTTTGCCTAATATTTGAGAGAGCTCCACTTCGACCCAGACGCCAGCAAGGTTGAAGTGGGGGTACTGGAATGGGCTGGTATTATTAAAGATGAGCTTGTTGGACATTTTTCAGTTGAAAATGGATTCAAAATGAACTCCAAATCCCACTGCCAGTTTTTAGAAAACACTTTCTTCAAGCAGTGCTTGAGAACTTGTGGCCCCTTCTTAAATGGTACACCCCTCTGAACAGTGTCTGGGAGGCTTTGGTTGCTGCTGCACAAAAAGCTGATCATCAACAGTCTTATAACCATTATTGAGAAGAAGGGTGGCTATATTGGTCACAGATTTATTTTTTTTTATGTCAGAAATGTTTATTTGTAAATTTTGAGTTTACTATTCTGACAAAAATAAACAGGTGAGAATGGACGATGTTCATTTTTCATTTAGCTGTTGTTGTTATAATTCTGCACATTAACAGTTCCCCAATAATTGTCCACACATAGATTTCTCCTAAGAAAGCCAAAACTTCACTTAATATTCAGATTTGAGGTTTATTAAAATTTTTAATTGACCGAGAGCACTGTAGTTGTTCAATTATAAAATGAATGAATGAATCCTCATACAACTTGTCAAATGATTCTGCACAGTGTTGAAAAGTGTTACTAATGTTCCCTCTTAATTTCAGGATGATCTCATTGAAAAGGAAAAAGCATCTTATGCCATCTCTGGTGGCTGTTGTGCCTTAGCAGCTATTAATTTAATGGGTAAACTGTATGTGGCTAATGCTGGAGATAGCAGGTAAGAAATATTATATTATATGATTCCTGTATTGCGTGAAAAGAAACTTTATATTTAGATCCATTTGTATGTGCATGTCATCTTCTGCAGGGCCATAATCATCAGAAATAATGAAATAATTCCCATGACTAATGAATTCACTCCTGAATCTGAGAGACAGCGTCTACAATATCTGGTAATTACATTTGACAGACACTTACCTTCTTGACTGAAGTATATGACCAAAATGAATGTATTTTATATATGTATTTATTTAAAGCTGAATTGGCTGTGGCTCTTCTTATACTGTGGGTTATAGTTGGGAAAGGAAAATGTATGATGTCAAAACAAGAGGGATTTAAGAATAATCTGACTGCAGAAAATCCTCTAACATTCTGAAATAAACAGCATTCGCCAAGTGCTTTCTGACTCACTCCGTGGGTGGACATTGATAGTGACGCAGCTAAAAGAGGAAGTGCTCTATAAAGCATGTTGCTCATCCTGTTAAAGCTCAATAGTTCAGAGATTTCACACTTTAGAAAGAAAATGACTCATGATGTAACCAAGACTGTTGTTACTTTTGATTAACGCCTTGTTTTCCCCGTAGGGTTTCCTGAGACCAGAGCTCCTGGGAAATGAGTTCACTCATATTGAGTTTCCTCGAAGGATTCAGCACAATGAATTAGGCAAAAAGATGCTCTACCGAGATCACACAATGACAGGCTGGTGAGATTAAGGATTTAAATTAACATAATTAGAATTGTGTACATGTGTAAAAGGTATAATTTATATAATTTCTCATAGGGCTTACAAAACAATCGTTGAAGATGACCTAAAATTCCCTTTAATATACGGAGAGGGTAAAAAGGTAAGATGGCGGTTTATAAATAGAGTGTCTGGCCAATCATTTAACTGTGTCTGGATGTACATAGTCACCTGGTAATCCCCCCTTAAGTGGCTTTTGTGAAAACAAAGCACATCCCAAATCAGTAATCCACTTTACTGTGTGCTGTGTGTGGGCTGCAGGCACGTGTGATGGCCACTATTGGAGTGACCAGGGGTCTGGGCGACCACGACCTAAAAGTGTACAACTCAAACATTTACATCAAGCCTTTCCTCTCTTGTGTTCCAGAGGTGAGAGAGTTTTGTATTTCACTTCCAGATATAGTCCAACTATTAGTAGCCTACCTACCTAGTCAAAAAATGGCACTTTAAGGCTGAGCTAAAATATGAATCCTAGGATTTTAGTAAATAAATGCTCTAGTTACTAGACAAAAACAAACTATTTTCCACTATTAGCTGTACAACGTTGATGCACAAAGCGATGTTACTCTGTTGTATTGTATAAAGAAAGCTCATCTGGGTCAAGGATAGACAAGCTGAGATGAGTCAAATGAGGGTCAGGTGGTGTGCTTACAAGCCTGTACCTGCAGTTTGATCTAGATCAGAATAATTAGCATTGCCATGTCCACCAATATGAATAATGGAATACACGAGTTTTGGGGGGTTGAGTAACATTGTAGCTACCCTGAGAAGTTGCATATGGTCAAAGTATATATTTCATTGAACCAATATTGAAATGTAAATAGTCTCAAATATGTCCTGGGTAAAAAACTAATGTTAGAACTGAAAATATTACAACATTTTAGTGACACAGTGCTAACTGTGTTTTCATGTGACAACAGGTGATGGTGTATAACCTGGATGAAAACAAGCATGGTCCCAACGATGTCCTAGTCATGGGCACAGATGGATTGTGGGATGTGACCACAGACAGGGAAGTGGCAGATGCTGTGTCAGCGTACTTATCCTGCTGTGACCCCTCTGATCCCATGAGGTATGCGCTTGGTCAAATAATCCTTTACACTGGGCTTTTGTTCCCCCTCTAAGTCCTTGTTATGAACTTGTGTGTGAACATGTTGAGGGGGAATTTGTGAGTGCTGTTTGTTTTTAAAGTGTGTTAATCCACTAGATGGCAGTGTAGGTTTAGAGTTGAATTCAGAATAGCTGACCTGTCCAAAATGAAAATGAACCTTATCGTGTAAATAAAATGTTGAAGGAAATAGTACTAAATGAGGGTATAAATAACATTTTGGAAGTTGTGCTATGTATACTATGTATCATTCAGACATGAAATATTGTATGTATGATAATGTTATGAATTCATTATTTGGCTTCAGTTGTCCACATTGTATGAGAGCCGTTTTAATATGTCCAAGAGTGTTGTAATGCTCTTTGTGCTTTGAAGGTACTCTCTGGCTGCTCAAGATGTGCTCATGAGGTCACGGGGCGTGCTGAAGGAGCGTGGATGGAGGTTACCCAATGAGAGACTGGGGTCTGGAGATGACATCACAGTGTTTGTGGTACCACTGGCAGGAAGTGAGCTGGAGACATGACGAGCTGTTGCTGTAGAGACCACTGTGAAAGGCCTATAGTTCTGTAAGGTTCGCCACATGGCCCCCTCCTCCATCTTTCCTGGATCCTGGACCAATCTCCTGGAGCGATGGAAGATAAGACCATCTCATCGTACAGATCTGAGCACCTTCAGCCTGACCCAACACCACCCTGTCACCCCAGAATGCTCTCACGTCATGCTCAGTTGGTCTCTGACAAAGTATCTTTAGTGACATTGATTTCATTTTCTTCCCAATCTGCTCTTTGTGCCAGTGAGAATTATATCTTTGTAATATTTTGTTCCTGATCAAGGTCAATTGGACAGAACAACTTGTAAAAATGCCTGCAATTTCCACAATCATATGTTGAAGAAAAAGGGGAAACCAAAGATGCTGTCACAAGCATGAGGAAAGAAAAGTGTAAAGTAATAAAACCACAAAATAGAAATGACACAAGACCATTAGCTTAATGACTGTACATTAAAGAAGCATAGAGAAAGTTGGAGAGAGAAAACAAGTTTCGAAGCACTGAACTGAGAGGGAGTGCCGTAGGCTATTTCCTTTCCTAATGATAGTCGAATGATGGCACTTGAGGCACTTGAAGACTTGCACATGCTTGACATGTGGAAGTGCACATTTTGGTACTTCTTTTATTGAATGTGATAAATATTATTTATCTCCAGAGAGATTTGCTGCACTTTTTTGGCATAATTTAATTTAACAGCACTGTCTGTTTTAACATAATGTTTGGTTTCAGTAAACGTTTAGGTATAGTAAGTTGTGATAAATTTCACACATATGCCTTATTCAAGTTAGTTTTTTTTTGTTTTGTTTTTTAATATCAGTTGCACTTTTTTTTTTAACCTAGTGGCAGTTAACAAAGTATGACCTTAAATTTAACATTTTACCTCTTGTACCATTTTGTTTTGTTTAGATTACCCATATATTTTTCAAGAAGATGTTTTATTTTTATGTTTCTGTCCATAACTGAATTAGAAATGCTGTGTCTCATACAGTACAGAGTTACTGTTGTGGTAAAGAGAGAAAATGTGTACAGGTTTAGAAATAAATCTGATTTTTCTTGTTTTCATTCTAGGCTTGGGCTTTGATATTTTAAAAAACAAAAATTAAATGGAATGATTCTTTAAGTTGAAGTGTGGGCTGTAGTTTTGTGCAGTATTTCAAATTAAGACCTAACCAAGTTTTTGCTTATGTAAATAGAGTGGTGGAGAGTATATAAAAATATTTTTTACTTTATAGGGCTAAAGAAAGAATGTATATTAAAAAATGTGGTTAATATGAAACCGTCTCATAAAGATTATAATCTTTAGCCTATTTGATCTAATCAGTGCCTTCGTCTACCTGCCACCTGCAAAAAATCAAATAACAATACCCATGAAGCATTAAAGGGGTACTACTGACCTTTACCCGTGAATAACAATGGCACGCACTCTCGGTTAGGCAGCAAATTTGACAGAAAGTCTTACTTTACCCCATTAATCATGTCAGCTATAATTTGCATGTACACCTGATTATGCTTGTAGAAATATGTGATTATGAGCCCAGGCTAATGGTTTTGTAGGACAGCAGCACATTGCTGACATCCGCACCCAGCCTCCTGTTGCATGAGCCTCGGTACTACGGATGATGTCATCTTTGACCGAGAGGAGGAGGAGGAGACACGGGCGACTCCAGCGCCTGCAGCAAAGGCGTCAAGCCACCGCAGTGATGGACAGCATCACCGGAAACACAGTAGGGCACAGAGAAATAAAACAGATTTGTTTCTTTGATTTCAATTTAAGATGCTGTTTGTCTTATAGTTTATGAGCTATATAGTTTTTGTATTAATTCCAGTATTCAGTTCAAATGCTTGAGTAAAATTTGTCTTTCTGTGGCTTTACTACTAAAATGCCTGTTTGACCATATTGGTCCAATACATGATTAGCCTACCTAATGCAATTGCTTGTATATGTAATTGTTTACCCCTGGTAACATGCCAAGACCATATCTCAAAATCACTGAAATGCAGTACGTGGAGGCTACAGTATAGATTAATGACATATCATTTTTCTGACCTATGATTTTGACTAAAATAACAACTCCTCTCTTTTAGTTTGAAAGGCTCAAACGGAAGTAGCGCCTCTTTATCGCACTTTAGCCTGGTCATTTGCTGTCAGTAGGAGTGTCCTGCTCGCCTGCCCCGCTCCTCAGCAGCAGTGTCTGTAAAATTAGCGAATACTGCAGTAAGAAGTGACTGTGTTTGTGTATGCCGCGAAGAAAACGAGAGAAATAGAGGGGATACTATCACATTTTAAAGATCGATCCGGCTAGCGACAGGTAACTATAGAACACACGAGTTACTTGGACTATCCTGCATAAGTTGTCAGCCTAATTATAGCATAGTTGCATTACTTCGTCGGGAGGAGAAGAAGGTGGTGGCTCGTCCTCATTCAGGATTTGGGCTTTTTCCAGTTTAGGTAATAGTTTAATCCGTGATGGTGCGCCTCCAGTCATTCTGTCCGATGCGGTGTGAGTTTGGGGGTTTGTACAACTGTTGATCGCTACATAGTTTGAAGGAGAACGAGAGATCGGCTCCTGAACAGTCTGTCCATCTGTAGCAGCGACCCCATGAGCAACTCCGGATGACAAATCTGGTAAAGAGGAATTTCTGAGCATAGGAACACGGGATTTTCCTGGCTTTGTGGTTTTGTTTTTGTGCCTGCTATACATTTATGCAACAATAAAGTACCCTAGCCTGAGTTGTTTAGCACAGGGATTTTAAAACTTAGGCATTGTTGCGTGATTCAAAATTAATTATTTTTTATAGTAGGCTTTTGTTTTAACCAGTTTGTTGGATTTTTTGTTTGTAACCTAACCCAGTTTTCCCTTCCACTGTTGAACATGTAGCATAGATGCCAGCGAGCATCTGTTAGGCTATATATCAGAGCAAACTTATGCATGCTAACTGTCTACATCTCATGCTGTAGTGTTTTGTATGTGCAGAAATAGACATGGATGCCATTTCAATATGTCTGTGTTTATGTATTTTATGCCTATGTTTTATGCCTTTGTGGTCCAGGTAGGTTGCATTGCAAAAGAAACTTAAATTCTGTCAACTTTTTTTTTTTTTTATAGAATTGATCCTGGATAGTATTAGAAAGCCACTGAAAAATCACACATATGATACAATATATTATAATAAAGGGAGGGAAATCTTGCTTTATTCACCCAAGTGGCATTAATCATTACTATTCTTATTTAAACAATTACATAGAAATATAACATCTATCATTCCAAAGCTGGGTGTAACTGTGACCACAGCAGTGAAAATGCTTGTATTCCTCTAGAGATGGTTGTACTAAGAGTAAGTGCAGGGACAGGGTGGTGGTTCTTCTCTGTGAGCTCCTTCTGTCAGGCAGCTCATGACCTGACTCATTAAACAAACGTGAATCATGGCCGCCTCGTGTTTTAAAGCCAAGCAGCGCATCCTCGGTCTCCAGGCTGCTATAATGAAATATCTGTTCACCCATGGTGCCTGACCTAATACTTTTACATTGAGGACTCTTGAGTCTGAGTCAAATTAAAACTCATAGCAGCATGCGATGTAAGTAACTGTAGTTCAGATCTGGTATTTATTGTCAGAAGCCAAGTTCTTAAACTGTCACTGAACTGTCCTAACATAGCTGTGTAGCGTTGTGGAATAATTCGTTGTGTTGGTAGTCACGTCACTTCTAAGAACTGTAACAACACAAAAGCTGTTTCCTTAAAGTGCTTAAGAACCAGACAATTAGAATAAAGAAAACTCCAAGTTCATGAACTTCAGTTCATTATTCCATATGTCCAGGACAGTTGTAACCTGTCAAATTTTCAATGTTGTTGGTGACTTATTTGGCTTAAACTTTTTATTTGTGCCAGATGCCCTCCCCTTCTTGCAGACTGTAAACCACTTACACTTAACATTGCAAAATATGCAGTGCAGTAGAAAGGATATGGGGGCATTGAGGGGTCACGCAGGGGTTAGAGAGAGTCCACTGATCAAGACACGATATTCTGCTTCCCTCTTCTCCTAACCCAGAAGAGAGAGAGGGACACAACTTGTAAACAATAACAAATAAAGTGTCATTAGAGAATTGATGGCAATGTACTTTTAATCTCGCAACAAGCTAGTATGAGGCAACTATTATGTTATAGGGGATGGGTCTAATCTGCTTTGAGTGAGACCTGGTTGGTTAGCTTAGCTTATGCTACAGTTAAAGCTGAAGAAAAATGGCGTCATAGGTTTGTAAGGACAACCACACTATCCAAATACAATGTAAAATTGTTAATATATTTCCATAGACATTGACAAAACTTGAATGGTAAAAAATATTTCATTAACAGTATCCAGTTTGAAATTTGAAATGTTCTAATATATTGGTTGTTTTTGCAATATTTAGATTGTGCTGCTATAAAGTTCTCCATTATATTACATGGCAGTTCGACTTGATGTTGTCAGTTGTGTTCCAGTAAGGTCGCTTTGACTAGTAGCTCTATGATATGTGCTGGAGTTAGAGCTGTCAGGGTTAGTCAGATTAGGGTTTGCTGTGCGGGTTTAGGCTGAGTGGACAGCTTGTGTCAGCTTGTGTCCACTGCACCACGATGTCTGCTCACTTCGCCTTCTTAGCACTGCATGGACATCTGATGAACTTTAGCCCATTTCTCACAGACATACAGAAGTGGAATGAAAATCTACTTTTAAACTACAGTGAATTTGTCAACGTTATAGGATAAAAAGGTCTCAGTTTGTGAGTAAAAGTATGTGACTTCTTTATATTTTTGTACTAAACAAAATAATTACTTTGTTGAACCTCTAATCACTTATTCTGCATGTTACTTTTCAACTGCATAACAAAATCTACTCAGACTATTACTATTAGTAATGCTCTCATCACTGCGAACTTAATGGTACTTTTTATGTCAAAAACTTTTAGATTAATAATGCTGTGGTATTTGCTGCAGTTCTGTGTTGGCATTTTAATTTGCCCTAATTGCCAAATGCCAAAATTGTACCTATATTTGAAAAACTGACTTTATTTCATCAACCACTAGTCCCAGTATATCAGCTGATCTTTCAAATGTTTGATAACTACCATGGTTCAGGAGCTATAGAGACAGGACAAATAAGCACTCATTTTCAGAATATTGAAAAACACCACTGGAGCAACAGCACAGACCCCCTTTCAGGCTGTGTTTTTGTGTGTTGTTGATATTAACTTGTACTAAAGGGCAGCTCCACCTCATGGCTGCGGTCACACTCTGGCTATGCTAACTCCACTCAGCTTGTTGCATAACGGCTGGCCCCTAAAGCCTCGGGAAACCTCTGAGAAGGAAGAAAAGAGGTGGTGTTGTTCATTAACCCAGCATTACTCAAATAGTTGTACAACGTTGTAGCTCTTTCCCTCTCACCTTATTGGTTTTAATAGCTGCTTGAGTTGTAACAGGATCCCAGTTCGGTTTTAACATGTGTCAGAAGTGTTTAAGATAATGATAAGTATCCTGAATGTAATGCGGTTGGGAGGTAGGAGTTGAAAGCGCCTAAGTCATTTTGCTAAATGACAGAACCCATTGTAAATGAAGTTTGAAGGAAGATCAGAAATGTTTTGCATTAGGAACTGATACCGACTTTCTTTGGGACAATATCTGTTGTACAATAGCACAATACACAAAGTTATTTTTAATCCTTTCTTTCACGAGGTACATAATCTCATAGCAGACTATTATGCATCAACACTGTTCAAAATCAAGGCGCTGTAGCCAGTTTTACTTCTGTTTTTTTTTTTTTTCTTTTCAACAATGGAATTAGTCATTTGGACAAAGCAGATGATAATTATTAGTCTTAACTTTGTAGAGAACAATGATTCATGACTAACACCTAAAGTTGATGAGGGACATTAGGCGTATTAGTGGCAGCCATCTTGACGCCCTCTTCTGTTGTCTGTGTCATTAGTTTCCATTAGTGCCTTAACCGGAGCAATTGGTTGTCACAAATAGGAGGCATCTTGTGACCTGATGAGGCTTTGTCAAACATCAGTTTCTTTTACAATATGTCAAGATGTTCGAATTTGTTCATACATGATGGCAACATGTTGTTACATTTAGAACTCTAGAAGAAGTGAATTTAAGTGAAGAAAGTGGTTGTTGTTATATTAGTAACTTTGTATAATTGACTGGATTTTAATATTGCTTAAACTAAAGTACCGAATATTGCCATTACTCTGATTAGTTTGACGCAGTATAATCAATACAAAATGATATAGCAATTTCAGTATAATTTTCACATTTTAGCTTTGCTGAGTGTATACTACGGATAAGTTAGTGCCTTAAAGGAAATCCTGTGTTAAACTTCACTAATTTATACAAAAAATGCGAGTGAATGTAACTTATTTCATTTTTTTAAATTTTTTTTTTACTTTTGAGCCATTACCTCTGTTTCCAAGGTTTATCAAAACAGAGTAGCTGCCAGATGTCCCGCCCACCCAATAGGAAGTGAGATGTTTAGTTTTCCAGGGGGAGAGTGCGCAGTGGGGGCTTCAGTCAACTAATCCTAACTGTAAAGCAGTGTAATTCTGTCTTATAGCATTGTTGATGTCTTTTGACAGTTTTTTGGCTTAGACCCCTCTAGTTTGAAGGGGCCCTGTAGCTAAGGAATATGAAGGTGTCACAAACCATAACCAGAGTTTTCCATAAAAGAAAAAATATAACCAAGATTTCCATAAACTGTCTGTCCCTCACACACACACCCAGCGTTTCCTGGAAGGCTGAAGGTTACGCCAAGCAATACTCATGGAAATGAGTCCCCTTACGCTCATCTCATGGGTATGAGTCTATTCAATCTGTGATAGCTTTCTTTGCTATATATTTTATTCTTTTCAGTGTTTGTATTGAAATCAATGTGAGACTAAATCCTTAGGCTTATGTTATGATGTTTTATGTTGCATACTGTTTTTGGGGCATGGAGGAGTGTGCCCCTGTCTCATAAAATCATTACAAGATCTCCAGATACACTGTGCTCTCCTCTAACTAGAATTGGGAACACAAAATATGCTTTTAGAATTTACCAGTGTTGACTGTGACAGTCTCATTATGTTCATACTTCATATCGTGCTATTGCAGAGTTACTGATGTAATAATTACTGTTTTTCATTTAATATGTTTGTTGCCATATGTGGTTTAGAGAGGAGTTCAGCTTTTGGAAGAATACATTGAATATTTTTTGCATGTTGCATATCACTGAAACGTTTGTATTCTCTACATTCCTTGAACCTTAAAGGACCGATATTACACTATTTTCTGATCTATATTATAATGTTGTTTCCTCAGCACAAACATACCTGGAGTTTGTGTTTTATTTCATTCACAGAAGGTCTGAGTTCTTCTCTCAAATGAAGTGAAATACCCTCCTTCTTTAGAATCTTGTGGATGATTTCAGCCGTGGAATTGCCAGTCTCTACTGAACTAAAGTTAAAAGGTAGCTGTTAACTCGAAAACTACCACTTCATGACATCACAAAGTGGAACAGAGTGTTTTGCTTTGGATATGTAAACAGACTAATAATAAATGTTTCCTCAAATATGTGTGAATGAACCAAAACACATCCCCAGATGTTTTTTAGGGGGTAACAACATTTTAGCATGGCTTAAAGCTCCCACAAGTAAATTTTGTGTAATATAGGACCTTTTAATATTATGAACCCTACGTAAATGCTGTAATAGAGCTATTGGCTGCAAGCTGGAATAGTAGAAGAAGACAAATGAATATATATCCAATCCATCTCCTGTACGTGCAGGATAAATGAAGCCTAGGAATGTTTTTGACATAGATGGCAGAGATAACAGAATACCTGTCTTTGGTAGTGTCAGTTTCCCTCTGGATCTAGCCCGCTGCAGTCTTGCCTTTGGTCACAATTTGGCCGGTCTCGACTCCTGGTGACATGACTGAATAACTGCAGAGTGTGCACAGATGAAAGGCAGTGGCAGTGGGGCAGATGAGCCCACTTTGGCCTGCAGCATTCACAGATGAATTTGCCTGATAAGTGGCTGCCCTGGTGAGGAGGAGTGCTGTCAGGAGCGTCTGGCAGAAAGTGGATGAGGTGAGGAGCCAAATGAGTTTACGCACAGCTGCTGGGAGCACTGAGGCCCATCCATCACATCCACACAGGAGACACCAGCAAAACCAGTGCGCTTGTGGTGCACGCATAAGCAAACAGATAAGCTTTATTTGTTCGGGCTTTTAGGTCAGTTGTTAAAGTCAAACAACACAGATGCATCAATTTTCATGACAAACACTGAAATGGCTTTATAGCACGAGACATATGCTCGCAATTTTGCACGCCCTATCGAAGTAATTACACCAACTGTAATATATTTACTCTACATAATTAAGTCCTTCCTCTGACATTGTTTTGTTTTTATCCATTTGCTAAAAACTGGAACACAAAGCACCTGGACCCCTGAAGGTGTTTCTTGTGTGTATTTTCTGCTTTAGGACACCATCACCAGCTGCTACTTCCCAGAATACCTTGCACAACATAGCAGCAGTAAATGTCCTGATAGCACATTCCTTCAAGTTCCAGCTTGCTCCATGCGCCTTTTTCTTTTTCTTTTTTCTTCTTGATGCTTTTGCGGCATTGTTTGGGGTCTCATAATGTCTCAGTGAATAGTTAAAGTGCATTATAGTAGTAAATAGTAATGGTTAAATATTGGCAGTGGGCAGATTATAAAAATAAATTGTTTGGATGTTGCGCTTCTTCAGTTCAGAACTGAAGAAGCAGCTTGGATGAGCTGCAAAACATATATATATAATATATATATAATATATATATATATATATATATATATATATATATATATATATATATATATATATATATATATATATATATATATATATATAATATATATATATATATATATAAAATCATAAATTTTTATCAATGTTGCCCATGAGACAGGGCCAGGACTCTAAGCAAATAAGTTTCTGAATTTTCTGGTTATATGAAGATTACATAAATGGTCAAAATCAATAAATCAGTTGTCTTGCACATCTGTTATTGTCTCACTACTCAAGAGCATCTTTTTGTTTTTGACAGACATGGCTGCCATTCGAAAGAAGCTGGTGATCGTGGGCGATGGAGCGTGTGGGAAAACCTGTCTACTCATTGTGTTCAGTAAAGACCAGTTTCCTGAAGTCTATGTCCCCACTGTCTTTGAGAACTACATTGCTGATATTGAGGTGGATGGAAAGCAGGTCTGTAAACAGATGAACATTAACATGCCACCCCTAAACAATATGCATTGATTTGGAGATGCTCCAAAATTAATACACAAATTGTGTTCAGCAGTAAAATTGCCAACTGTGCAATTTTGTTTTACAAATAGAATTTGATCAAATATCGAGTGCTCTGAGGAGAGATGATGCAAAGGACATACCACAAAAAATGTGTAATGTGGTATTAGTGTTCCATAGGCCTGATTAATTTTTATAAAGTTAATGCCAGAATGCCAAATTGGCATAATGCAACCACTGAAAATTTTAAGTAAATATACCTCGAGATTTCCTCATAGTTTATTGAAAAGAGATTATACAGTATTGCAGGTGGATTTATAATACTTTAAGTAAAACTTATATACTTGGTGAAATAGAAGTGGACAGCTTAATATTCAACAGGCTTTGTTCTCTGGTACTGACCACCACTGCTGGATCACCACTTCGCAAAACAGGAAATGACTCTACTTTCCTGCTTCCTGTTCAGACGGGGAACAGGAGTGTCTCTTGGCAAAACCTTGGCCCTTCCCTCACGACCCTCTCACTCCTCTGACTGATAAACAAGACCCATTTCCTGGTCCACACTTAATGGAGGAACTGTAAAGATAGCTTCAGTCTTGTGAAGACATACTAGCTAAGCCACAGAACTGTGCAAAAGTTTAATAGTTGCTATGGAAAAGTTCAGCCACAGATTTACAGACTTGACTTATTTACCATGATGAATTGCACTTTCCCAGTGCGCCTCAACTGAAAGAGGGCACATACCTTTATCCTCCTATAGACTTTTTCCACAATACTGTCATTGTATAATACTAGAAATGGCAAAGATATAATTATCAGCCCAAGATTTCTCTGAAGAAAGATACCTAATAGGAACACATTAGTTAAGTTCTGTGTTCCTCATTTAGTCTTTCCCTTGTGGCTAAATAACTCCTCTTTGTTGCTCCTTCAGTGAATTGGACAGTGCCTAAAATAGCTGTTTTTTTCTCTTCTCATTTCCTCCCCAAAGACTGTAGCTTATGCTAAGACCAGTGGGAACATTAGCACTGTGGCTGCTCTCGAGTGTAGAGCCACCTCCCATCTTCTGCCTCTGCAAACTGCTATTTTGGGATTTTTGACTGATGGTTGTGCTCTGTGGGCTTAGCAACAATATACCACGCATGTTGTCATCTTTAGTCTTTTGTGAGTCAGCAAAAAATCTATGGCAATACCACATATGTTATTGGTTGTGCAGGAGGAGAAGGTATCTGTTTTGATGCAGGCTAATCTGCTACTTTGCCTAATTGAATTAATGGGTGGTGTGATAGGATAAGGCTCGTCCTGCAGTTCATTCCCACCACACTGACAACATAACAAGCTTAGGAGGCTGGTTAGGTCAGGACTACAGCAGTAATGATGGACTGCATAGGATCATAAGTGGAAAAAGTTAATATCATAAACATTTTGAGTCATGTGTTCACCATGGAGTTAAAGACGTGACAGTAATTTTAGATTTGTTAACCATTTTAGTTCAGGTCAGCGAAGCACAAATTAAATTTAAATATTGTTTTTATTCTATTTTGCCAGCCAATGAACAAAAAATCTTCTGAATAAGAAACTTGGAATGTAGTCACTCTTGTTAGTCAAAGTCATTTCTACAGTCATACACCCGGGTCGATGATTTTGAATACTTTAATCATACAAGAGAATAACAAGTCATTGTAATCGGTTTTTTCTTTTTCCAGTTTTAATTGCCCTAACAATAGGCTCTGAACAAACAGGCACTGAAAAAAACAACCTTTCAGTTTTTGCCCTTTTCTATCCTGGTAGATCAGATAAATCATGTCTTTGATTACTTCTAGTGCTTTGACATCTTCCCTTATTTATGAATTCAAAATCATCTACTAGTTACAAGAACAAACTGCAATTCTGTTGAAAGCTGAGTGTATAATATATAGCATTATAATTGTAATCTCTCTTATTTTATTTCAGGTGGAGTTGGCACTGTGGGACACAGCGGGCCAAGAGGACTATGACAGACTCAGACCACTGTCGTACCCTGATACTGACGTCATCTTAATGTGCTTCTCCATCGATAGCCCTGACAGTTTAGGTAAATACTTAAATTGATATTTTTAATACTTTAGGTTACAGGTAATACCAATACACTTGATGGGTAAGTGTGTTTTAATATGGCTAAAAAAAAACAGTCCTGGAGTGTAGCACTGGGTGAGCCATCACTAGAAAGTTCTCAGTGACTGTACTGTTCCCTTTTCAGAACATCACATCTCCTGTAGGATTTTAACTCTCTTCTTGTTTCTCCTGGAACAGAAAATATTCCAGAAAAATGGACACCAGAGGTGAAACACTTCTGTCCGAATGTCCCTATCATCCTCGTTGGGAACAAGAAAGACTTGAGGAATGACGAGCACACACGGAGGGAACTGGCCAAAATGAAGCAGGTACAGGACCACACAGGGATATTTTATCAAGAGACATGTTTGATCAATGTTACATAAAGTTATGATGAAGGCACATTTACAGCTAACATTCTTTTGGAAACAACCATTTGGATACCAGAGGGGGGTGCAGTATTTCAAGTTGTAAAACCTAGCACAGTGTGCCTTCTTATCATTGCTCGAACCAAAACAACTTCTCTCCAGAGAGACAATAAATTAATTGGTGTAATATATCTACATGTCTGTTTTTATTCATGTTTATATTTACATTATTTTGTGCCTTAGTAAATAATAAAGTACTATAAGATATATAGTAATAATGTAGTAATAAAGCACTCCATCAACAGTTCTCAAATTCAGTCTTCCATAATGTTAATGTGCTAAAATGTCATGAGCCCAATTGGCTTGTAGACTCTCTGTGATACATTTGCCTGGGCTTGATGGCATATTGTGTCAGAAATTTTGTTAATGAACAATTTATTCATAAAATTGTTTGTCTTTTCATGGAAATGAGTTGGGAGCCAAAAGTACCACTGATCTGAAAAGACTGCTACTGTCACAACAGCTCCACTGTGTCAATGAGAAGGACCTATTCTGTCTCAGCTCTGCCCAATAATGGGAAAATGTTGACAAAGCTCTCTGGCTTTCAGACACCACTGTCAGCTTTTTCTATTAGCTCAAATCAGGAACAAAGAGTAGCACAAAGTCATCATTTCATTGCACACATATTCACAACCATGCAGAGAATGTTGGAGGGGTGAACTTTGAAACCTATCTCAAATATTTAGTTTTACCAGAAAATAAACTTATAAAGACCTCTTCCTTTCTTTCCACAGGAACCAGTGAAGCCAGAAGAAGGCAGAGAGATGGCTACCCGGATTGGAGCGGTGAACTGCTTGGAGTGCTCAGCTAAAACTAAGGAAGGAGTGAGAGAAGTCTTTGAGATGGCCACAAGAGCAGCCCTTGAAGTCCGCAAGCGCAAGAAGAGAAAGGGCTGTGTGGTACTGTGAAGAGCCTTGGCCATTCCATACATCAAGTCAACTAACCAATAAGAAAAGGACTGTCCTTTTTACCAAATGACATATTTGCTCTGTATCTACACAGACTCATGCAGGAAGCCATTATACAGGAAATGGACATTGTCTCCAAATGTGCTTAGTTTATGTTGATTTTTTTTTTTTTAACTGTCTTTGCAAACATTTTCTTTATACTTGTAACAAGGCAGTGATAGATGCACATATTTGTTCTTCACAGGCTAGCTTCACACTAGAGGTCACGCTAGCTTTCACATATTCATGCATTTTGTCTTTTGAACAATGTTTGTTTGTGTACAAGTTAATGGAAAAAACAGTCTTTTCAGGTGCCTTCTCCTAAGTTTATACATCCTTGTGTGTTTTCATAACTGCCAGCGAGCTAACATTTCAAGCCACATTGTACTGTAGCTCCACTGATTACTGTTTTGTCACCTTGAAACCTGAGCAAAGCCATATGTTAGGCTTATGATACTGTTGACAATAGTCCTGTGAGTTCATCTTTGTTCCTCCAGCATCAGTGTTTCCTTGACATTTGCCATGTTTAGTCTGCTCCTGATAAAACTTGTTCTTTTGAGTACAACCGTATCTTGTAACAAGTCCCAGCTCCACTTCATAAATTGTGTGTAGTGGACCCAGATGGAAGGATAAGAGTTGTCCAGTTGAGAGACATAGCCAGAATGACTCAACTATGCACAATGGTGGTTACAGAGTTGAGGCCTGGCAAAATATTCCTTGTTTATTTATTGCGAGTGACTGAGTTCAGCTCTTCTTTTGCCACAATGAGTCGAGTGTCACACCCCCAGTTGGAATCTGTTTTGCACGGGAACGGTCAGTCATGGAAATAAAGTTGTTACCCATCGCTATGTGGATATTTCTTGTCAGACAGCATTCTTGAAATACCTGAGAAGTCTAGTGGTACTGGAGTGTGTTTTTCCCAGTGCCTTCTCTGTCCTGTTGTGCCTTGGTGGACAGATAGGCCAGGTGCTCACTTTGGAAATTGGAGATGACTTTTTTTTTTTTTTTTTTTCAAGCTATACATTAGTGATGGGCTCATATACACAAGCTTATTTTAAAGGTGCTAGGATAGGAATAAAAACTTCATCCCACATAAAAAGATAGTAAACCTTAGCATTTATAATAATTGGATTACTACTGCGCTTTATCGGCTTCACAAAGGGCAACAGTAGGCCATTATCCATTCATGTTCTGGTAAGATACAACTACAAAAAATAAGCTGCCATAGGCCTCTACAATCCATTATTCACTCATACCAGATTCATATATTGACTGGGTGATATGTTTTGTAAACACAACAGCCCTATGCACATCAGTTTATTTAATGGTCTTTTTAGTTCAGACAGTATTAAAGAAACTGCATTAACATACTTATATGACAATGTATTTTGGTTTATTGTACCTGCTACATTGATTTACTAGTGTGATATAAATTAAGTACTATCAGAGAGCAATGAAGGGATTTTGGATTTACCATTTACCTTTGGCACTTAGTTGTGTTTTTTTACTCATCAAAACAAGTTTGACAAATTCATAGAAATTGGAGGCCAGGAGAAAACAGGCCATTGTAAAGGAACATTATGTGGAGCAGAACAACATATTGATACATAATGAGCATGCATGTGTTTACTCCTGTGGTGTGGAAAATACAATGTGCCACAATTAAACTTGACCTGATGCTGATAGTGGCGTCAGAAAGCAGGTTTGTGCTGTGCTCACACAAGCACCAAACCATTACATCTAAATGGGATCATCTTCTCAGTGTTGTACAACTTTATCCTCCGGAAGTATTGATAGAAATGTAAGAGTCCAGATTTATATATAAAAAAAAAGAAGCTTATTCTAATAATGCTTTGTAAACTGAATATGTTGTAGTGGTGGATGTTTGATCTGACAGGCACATTGTTAATAAAATATTTTTGAGACAAGTGACTTTCTGATGAGTCCTTTTAAAAGCACATGAATCCATTTGCAAAAAGAAAAACACTATGCGAGAAAAGGTTTAAGACATGATAGTGCTCTGTTTTCAGATATCAAATATTAATACAACAACAGTTTGACCCACCAACCAATGTGGAGTTTCTTTTTAAATGTCTTTATGCAATTACCATAATTACCATAAGAGATCCAAACTTGCATTATTCAGTATTTAAAGTTGAGCAGACTATTGCTCATTTTTCCATTCAAGATCTACAAACTGCTGAAGGGCACTCTCCTCCCCGATAATACCTGTGGCAAGAAAAAAAGCTTAAGGTAATGAAATTGATTTTAATTATATATTTTAGTTATGCTAATTGTTTCAAAGTCAGTAAGAGCCAAATAATTCTGTAGCCTTCTTTGGAGCTAAATCATCATTCCCAGTGTTAAATGTTCATACCAACATTGTAGATGGGATTACTGCAACTGCACAATATTTATTGAGTGCATACCATCACAGATTTTCAGGCTTGCCAGTCGAGACACAACATCCTCTTCTCCTTCTGCATCATTGAAGTCAAAGCCAGTGTACCCCTTCTCGTTCACACAGTAGCTTATGAACCTATACAAAATGAGCCATAAAGTTCATAATTTGCACACAACTCAAAAAGCACATATTTGACATAAGTGATTTCTTACTTATTCCAGGTGGGGTCTTTGTTTAAAATCACAGGGTTGCCCACAACTATCAACAGAGACCGTGCTCTGGTCACAGCTACATTAAATCTCTAGAGTTAAAAAAAATAAAAATAAATAAATAAAGTGGTAAGATCATACAATACTTACTTATAGTAAGTATTTACACACACCTTTTCATTGGAAAGAAACCCAATGTTAAAATCTTTGTCCATCTTGACATAATTGATGCTGCTACGAACCGTAGACACCATGATGATCTTTCTCTCCTGTCCTTGAAACTCTTCCACAGAGCCAACCTGACAACAGGGGATTTTTTAATAAGCTGAAGCAAAACAACAGCAATGTCCAGGATTCAAGCTTATATTAGCTGCAAAACATAAATCTATTCAAAGGGAAACTGTAGTTTGCCAACCTTGAGTTCTTTGATATCACTCCACTTTTTCACTGCTTCGACAGACTTCAGGGCTTTTAGGATTTTTTCAACCTGTCAAACACATGCCTTATAAGAAAATCATATCATCATAATCATAATTTACTCTGAACATGACAACAAAGAGTCATACCTGTTTCCTGTATGGAGCAATAATCCCAATATCTTTGGCAGACAGTTTTGGTAGACCCTTTTTCCCTTGTGTTTCAATTAGCTTGACAAGGTAGTCCATCAGAACTTCAATCTCTGAAACATTGAAGAAAGACGGGCTGTTTGCCTCTCTCTGATCCTTCCCCATGACCCCATGGAAGATTATAGGGAAGCCCTATCGTGGCATATACAAAAATCTGTTTTCAAATTACATTTCAAAGCAAAATGGTAGAAGCAATACAGTACCTTTTTTGGCAGGTGTTTCCAATTGCAGTATGTCTCACGTTCCCACTGGTCGGCAAACACCTGAAGTTCATTTTCATAAAACATCTCATTTGGGACTTTCAGGATAGCAGCATGAGACCTAAACAAAAAAAGGGAGTAAAATACAATCACCATTTTAAATCACAGTATACATATACTAGTAAATCTTTAAAAATGAGAATATCATGAAAAAGTTCAATATGTCTTGTCACTCATTTCAGAACGTCAAACCCATATATTTTATAGACTATATAAATAACTTTTTCATGATATTCAGTTTTTTTGAGATGTACTAGTATGTTTTATGAATCTGTAATAAATACCTGTAGTTTCGGAGAAGTTTGGTTACAAAGCGAGTGTCAAAGTGGCCAGAGTCAGTCGTTTTTTTGTATAAATCATTCTGAGTCATAAGTCTTTCAAGGAGAGAAATGCCTGAAAACAAAATTATCACACTATTAAATGGCCAATTATTTTTATAAGCAAAGCATTTACTGTTAACTTACCAAGTCCATACTTTAAAGCCAGTGGAGAGCGGAGTATTGGCCCTAGCTGTTTGGGGTCCCCTGCAAGCACAAGCTGACCATCCCCTGGACTAAGCAGACCTTACCAAGATTTTATTTTTGGAATTGTTAATGTATTTAAAAACAAAACAAACAAACTTATGTGCAAATATATGTGCTTTTTAATTACCTGCAATAGGAATGACACTCTCAGGCTCCACTGCCTGGCCCCCTTCATCCACAAAAACATAGGTGAAATGTCCAACAGGTACACCAACAGACACCAGTCTTTCATGTGTATAAGGCAGGAAAATAGTAAGAAGTAACATATTTAAAAATATAAGTTTAACTAAAACGGTGCCAACCTGCCAGCTGTGATCATTGTGGTAACAATAATTGTGTATTTCATCAAAATCTCTTTCTCAGGAAACACAAATGCATCTTGACTTTCATCCCAATTGCAATGTTTCTATGGATAAAAAAACAGAAAAAACATGAATTCAGTTGCAAGAAATAAGGTTTCGTAGTGTAATAATACATATGCACGCTGTTACTCTTCACTGCAAAGCCACTGAAGCTATACTAAATGACAAAACTGCAGTTTCATACAGCATTTAACCATTGACATTTAGAACTTACCTTGCAAAACAAAACAACCTCGACTAAGATCATAGATGTTTCATCTAAACTCTAAATCTAAAATTACAGGATGTGTGCAAACAGGGTAACATAGTTTGACAACTGACAACATGTAACCAGATTACTGTTGCAGTTCCAGCTGTGGCTCACCAGAAGCTGCTTGGGAACAGTATTGGGGTCCCTGCTGCTGGCATACAGGCGGTACACCTGATGCTGATCCATGTGCACAAACAGTCTTTCACAGAGCAGGTCACAGGCACTGTTTGAAGGGGCACAGGCCAGAATGTGGGCCCCGGGGTGAGCTCTGCTGACCTAACAAGACAAAGCATTCAAATTGTCTTAAAAAGATTGATGTTTTCAGTCACATGCTTGTACTGGACTTCCTGATCAATGCTTCTGTTTATGAATGTTTTAAATTACTCATTGGCTGCTTTAATTGTGCTTGATAAAAGCAAACTGAGCCATTATAGAATTAGTTCTGTGCAATTACGAGCTGAAGTGAAAACATAAGTCAGTTTGCTTTGAACACAAGCCAGGCACTCAGTTTCAATGGCAATCATTAACTTTGACCACATCAAAGTTATATTACAATATTTAATTCACACAAACATCTTCTATATATCAATCTAAACATGTATGAATTGCACCATATACAATATTTATTGGCTGGATTGCATAGCACACCACTGTGATAAGTAGCTACCTGATTCATGGCCTCTACCAAAGTAATGGTCTTTCCAGTTCCAGGAGGCCCAAAGACAAGGTGTGGAGCAGGCTTTGAAGAGCCAGCTACAATGCGCTGCACAGCGGCGTATTGCTCTGGGTTGTTTTCCAGCTGACGATTAAACATACTGAACAGAAAAAGTAAAAAGATACAGCAGCATTAATTAACATTGTAAAAATTGTTTAATTAATTTAATTTCTCGTTTTAGTTGTGCCAAGTCAGTCAAAGTATGTCTACTTATGCTTTATTTAAGAACAAATGTGTAAGATGTGTGTAAGATTTGGATTTTCATTTCATTTCTCACAAACTTGACCTAACTGTCCTCAGATACTGGCAGATAGACGTTTAAATCAAATAAACCTCACACGAGGCTCATTCTCATTGCCAGTTTGATTGCTGAAATCCAATTGGTTTAAACCTAAACCTCTCTTTGAAGTGACAATCTGAATGGTCACTACCTAAACCCAAATACGTGCAGCCAATAATGAACCATTGCTAGAGCAGCCTCTGCAGCTCATATCTGCAGCTGAGCTCCATATACTGAGAAAAATGTGTATGTATGGTCTATATGCAGGTTAAGGCTCTGGGAACCCAGGTTCAGCAGTGATAATCAATAAAACAAAAATTAAAACTATAAGATCACAGGCTACATAGTGTTCCTTTAAACTTATAAAAACAATCTCTAAATTCAGTATTAATCACCTGAGCTTGGGCACAGGAACAGTGCTATTAGCTGCCTTAGTGGGAAATAACATATCTCCAAGTTTATTCTTTACTGCCAGTTCCACAGCGCGATGTTGCATCTTGAGAGGAAACCGGTTGATAGTAAACTCCACATTAAATTTCATGTTGTTGATAAACATCTGCAACAATCTAAAACAACATGTTAACAGGATTAGGCCTGGATACAAGTTCACCGTTCCTGTCTTCTGGAGGTCTTACCTCTTGGAGAAGCCAAGTTTGACTCTATCCAACTCTACTCTGTGAACATATCCAGTGTATAAGGTGATTGGGGAGATTGTGTCTTCAGATTTGGACACCTTCAGACAGTCTCCTCTTAGCACGGAGGGTCGGTTCTCAGCGACCCCTGGAACCTTTAAGAGAATAATACTGTTGTTGTCATATTTTATGCTATGTGTGTAAAAGTAAATACATTTTGCTACATTGCATCTCATACAACATAGAACACACTGAGAATATTACATTCATTAATTTCAGAATAAGTTAACAAAGGGGATTTTCCTTACTTTGAGTACAAGCAGCTTCTTGTTACTTTGGTCCAGGGTCATTGTTTCATTGCGCATGTCATACTTCCGGATATCCACCTCCATTTGGATCTCCTCAAGGTACAGCAGGAGATGAAAGCGATGATCATAGTTCTTCATTTTTAAAGGGCAGTCTAAAAGATTACTTTACATAAAACAGATGTTTTAGACTCAATGGTCAAAAGACACATCATGTATAGTATTATTGTGACATTACTGCACAGCTTCCAGTTTTTGTCTAGTAGTTGCCGAGAAGTGTTCAGAGTCCTCCAACCCTCGTCTTGCTAACTCCTTTAAGTACAGAGGGTATTTGTAGTCTCTTAACTTGGCTGTTACTGCAGGCTGGGTCACAGTGCTGCCAAAAAACAACAGAGAGAGTTTGTTATAATGCAACATACAAATGCAATAATACAGCAAAGACGATTCAGATTTATCCTCCACATATAGACAGGCCTTTTATATAGTTGATAAGTATGTGAATTTTATGTGCAACACCAAAAAAACATGAAACAATTAACAATAAAGTACTTGTAAAACACAATACTTATACTATACCTATACTTTGTTAATTTAAATAAACTTACAAATGATGAAACTGACCATCTCGACTGTAAGGTTTCTCTGCATTACACAATAGCATTGTTTATTATTCATAATTATGGAGTGAGATCTAAAGAGGGGCCATTATGCAAAATCAACTTTTTTGGGGAGCTTACCATGCTATACCACATTATAATATGGTTCCCTCACCAAAAAAATGCCTGATGTGGTTTTATATATCTTCCATGCATATATGTGTAAACTTGCATTCTGTCCCAGGCCCTCTTCTGGGTTCCTTAGGGGAAGGCATTACAAGCCCACACCTCTTGTTCAAGATTTAGCCCATAAGCAGACATAACCAAGAGGCCATTTTTCATAAATATATTGAAGAGGAAGTGACTTAGTATGGGGAACTAGGTGAGGGTGGACTCAGAGCATCAACTTTAATAGGATATTTTCAGCATTCTCAAAACAATAAAAGGTAACATGGCAGTCAAAATATGTTATCTGTTAATGCGTAAAACCTCATAGAAGTGAAAGAAATACACCCTCTTTAAAATAAAAAAATACAAATTTACCCTCTGGTCTTTAAATATTGCCCCCTATAATGCGACATTGTGAGTCCAGAGATGTCTTCACCTTACTGGTGGAACTCCATCCACTATGACAGTGTCTACAGGCCTGTAGGTTACCGCTTGAAATGGTTTGTAAGGAGCCACTGGGCCCAGCTCCACAGCCAAGGGTGTTCTGGCTGCGCCTTCAATCTCCCGTACAATACAGAAAGGCACTGATCCTGGCAATTCAGGGCAGAATTCAAAGTACATAGTGGCAGGAAAATACCCATAGTGGCTTAGTCTGTACAAGACTTTCACTTCATAGACTTCTCCTGCAGGAAAAATCAGCAGTAAAGATGATTAGCAGATCAATGTATAGTCTATGGCTGTTAACTTTTTTTGTCTCACCAGGACAAAGAAAGAGTGGGCAGGCTCTGGTCACTCTCCTCTCATCCTCCAGTGTGAAACAGCGTATGCGGTGAAGGGCAGTGTAGTAGGTGAAGTGGATACAGTCTGTGCCTTTGTTGAAGATGCAGAATCTGACAGTGAACAACTCTCTCAGATGTTCCACTGTAAAGTGAATCTTTCCTTCACTTTCAGCTGGATCGGAAGTAATCTCAATGCCACCCTTATCAGCCGTCAACTCCTTTCTATGTGGGGACAATATTACAGGTGTCATTATAACTTGAACTAGGGCTGAAACAGACACACCTTATCAGATAAATAAGTAATTGAGTTTTAGTGTGCTGAGAGAAGAGATTAAGAATCCGGTAACAAACAGATAAGCAAATGTTTCTTATTTATAATAGTGCCCAGTCACGCCATACCTGTTTGACTTTAATTTTTTAAGGATTTCAGTCACTATTTTTTTCTTTGGCGTCAACACAGGCGCGATGGGAGAGGTCCCTGCAGAGGCACGAGGGGGCGTTTCTGCAGAGACCTGTTGGCCAGAGCTTGGACTTTGGGGTTCTTTGGTCCGGCGGGGACTTCTCCATTGGTCACAGTACACACGAACCTGACACAAAAATCACATCTCTTGATATTAAAGACACAATCCCACACACATGTCACATCTTACCTGAGGTCTTGCATTTATGTAAATTTTACCCTGCCTTATATTCACTTTGTTGAATTTGAGAAGAGCAAAAATAACTCTAGAAAAAGAGGAGTCTTTTATTCCTTCCCTACGAAAACGCGACAAGAGAATTAAAATCACTCCAAAAAGTTTGTACAATCAGACCCAGTTCTTCATACCTGCCCTTAAACTCAGAGTTGTAGATGTCTCGAAGCTCCTTTTTGTCTGTAATAGATATTCTGTTTCCAAGAAACTCTATGAAGTCCAGTCCACATTCAAGGGACTCAATTAAAACCGACGGCATGATGTGAGCAGGACATACAGACTACTTTTTCCGCGAAAACGAAATACGGAAGTTTATCAACGGGACTACGCAACATAATTTCCGGTTGTGCGTGCTTGCGTCTGTAGCTTTCTCTTGCAGTGAAAACCTCTGTGCGGAGTTAAGATCACCTGTGGTTATGTCTCACAGACCACGCACGTAGATCTTTATTTATTATGTTTAATAAAAATGCATTAGAGCATAATACGCAGTAAAACCACAAGCAAAAAAAAAATAAATAAATAAAAAAATCAAGCTCAAAACTGTGAAACGGGCTAATACCAGGGATCGTCTGCTTTTTTCTGTAGATATTTTCAGATGTACGGAACAGTAGTAGTCATTGACTCGGATGACTGCAGCTGCAGCACAACTTGAATTCACTTCACTCCATACAGTCTATGTTTCGCGCTTTCACGGATCAACTTTTGATTATTGTCCCTGGCATAATTTCACGAGAACAAAGACGTCGAAAAAAAATACACAGAATAAATTCTTCAGTAGGGTATTAAAATGTTATTTTAGAAGAGCAGATATCGTAAACTAAAACTGACACAAATTGTGAATTTATATATAGACAGCGCAGCTTTGACCATTCAAAGATACAGTGTATGTTTACATCGCATATACCATACAGTAGAGGGCGCTGTAGACCAGCCCGAGCAGCTGACACTCAGGCGGAAGTTGCATCCGTGTGCTTCTGCGTTCTGCGTTCATTCAACATAAAGGAAACAGCGCTTAGCCGGGCCTTTCGAGGATTTACAGAAAGAAAACACGTAAATGCGGGTGAGTAATGGCATTATTCGGCTCGAAAATTAACAAAAATATTTTGCACTTAAAATGATTGAATAATTATTTCAATTGAACCATTAGAATTACAATTGTTGCTGACTTGGATCATCTGTATACCACTTGAGTAACTATCAGAACGACGTTCCATGCTAAGTGCTAACTAGCCGGTTTAGGTAACGCTAACATTACATACGCAGTACGATTTGTCCTGTAGTTTTAACTTCTCGCATTCAGTCCTAATTAGTTTTAAGATTGGTATTGGCTCCGAATGCACCCACTGTTGTCCAAAGAAGCACTTAACCGGTACGCCATATCGGAAATGTCCCAGCTCATTTGTTTACCAGGTAGAGCCATAAGCTATAAATGTTCTCACGGAGCTTAGTTACATGTTACTAAATAAAAAAGAAACCAAAAAAGTAAATAATTTTTTAAGAATCATATAGTTAGGAGAAAAAGCATGGTGTCCAAAAACTAGTCTGAATGTGATTTGAGATCATTTACAGGCCTGCAGTCGTCTAAGAAGAGGTCGTGGTAAAAGCTTTCAAAGCTGTATCTCATCTCTATGTGTATGACATAAACTGCAAGACACAGCTGTCCTGGAGTAAATCTAAATGAAATGAGTAGTCGAGTACAAGTTTTGGTTGACTAAGACACTATCAACTGATTAACTGACTAAACCACTAAAGGCCTACAGCCCTGGAAATCAAGTTTTACCAAACAAGGCTGCAACACTTTTAGTGTATTTCCAACTACAGGGCTTGCTACAACTTATGGACCAAGGACAAAGCTGAGTGCTGGTTGATTCCAGCTTGTAGGGGTGTCTATTGAGTCATTAAGCAAATTGTGTGATTGTTCTTCTCTCTCCAGACACCGATAAAAGATTGAGATAGTCGGCAGAGGCTTCGAAGGGGGAATTCTACAAAATACTGAGGTATGCACACATCACAAAAAAATTCCCATTATATTTTGTATTCATACACAATTGTATTGTACTACAATGTGGGAAAACATGTACACACTCAAAGTAGTAAGTACAGTTTAATATCTGTAGACATTTTACATTATGTTCTATATGGAGTACAGTTTCACATTTACTATGCTGACTCTATGCATTAAGAAATAAAGCATGATAAGTTTATTAAAAAAAATACCAAACTTTTTCAGGAGCCTGTGAGCAAATTAAGTTTGACCATCTTTTCGCGGTTTTAGCTTGTGACTAATGCACAAATCATCTCACCTGTTGTAGTTCCAACTAAGTCAACTCCATGGTTAGATTGAGATTTTAAGTTGTTAAATACACTACCCGTGCCGTTCATTCAAAAGTATTCTGACACTATAATGTGATAAATGTTTTGACAAGTAGTAGCAGCTTATCGGTTTCTTCTTTGACTCTTTTGTGCCAGTTTGAAATTGCTTTTACTAATGAATCTGGACATTTTGTCCATCTGTCCACAAATATAAAGTATTTCACATTCAGTCTCGAGGTGTAATTTTTCTCTCAAATTCCTGGGTGTGACTGCTCAAAACTGGAAACTCTGAAAATGTATACTTTTATGCAAAGTAACTATAAAATTTGTTTTCCAAATGGTTAACGTAATTTTTATGGGTTACCTACTTTTTACAGCTTTAGCAAAATTCTAAGGTTAGATTTGTTTATTTCCCTCTATTTTTTTGTTTGTTTTTATTTTATTATTTTACCTCACTTAAAATTTTGACTGCATAAAATTTCTGTTCTGACCGGCTTTTGGCCTATTATTGTGTTTATTTAAAAAAAAAAAAAAACAACTCACAATATCCGTAATTTTCTTTTTTTCTTAGCATAGCATTGAAGAAGGCAATAACATTGAAGATTCAGTCAGTTATGGTAGAGGTCAAACCAAAATTAATTTTGTTGCCTGGATGATAACCAAATACTGATGAAAAACACACGGTTGGAAACTAGGTTTAGTTGTATAAAATTTTAGAAAATGTTGTCATAGCAAATGGGCAGTTTTATGTTCTCAACCAGGTTTTAAAGATAGAATTGATATTCAAGGTTCTGAAGTCTGAATATTGCACCTTTCAGTATCTAGCATTAACCAACTTTGAAAATCATAAGGCCACATTTGACATATTTAACCCTCAATTTTTCTTTAGGCCATGTTGCCCTCTCCTAAGTTCCAAGTCCAAAAAAAAAAGTTGAAGTGTGAGCTGTTTTATTTGTGAGGGCTGATCCACATGCATTCAACACTGTTGATGGCAGTATACAAAGGGAGACTGTAGGCTTTTAGTTTTTACTTAAAGCTTACAAATTTGGGGTTTCAAATGGGCTTTCCTCTTTTCCTGTTTTATTACCATGAAGCACTGGTTAAGTCATATTGACTGATCAGTAATTTCATTTCATTTTGACTTTGAATTTCAACAGCCATTTGCTGTTCGCCATCTTTAAATTTGCGCTGAGCCTAAATTTGCGGGCTGAATTTTGAATAGCATTGTGTCCATAATTTTCTATATTTGTTCTTCAAGATCTTTCATTTAATTACTGCCATGTTTCAGGACCGGACAGAAATTTAAAGAAGTTTTTTGCGTGAAACCTATTTTCCTGTTTTTGAGTCGAAGACTGAAGATCTTTAGCATTGGGGTTGAGTCATGTCTCGAAGACGAAGTCGCAGCACATCACCACCTGTGGCCTACCACCCGTGCAACAGTAGCGATCCAAGAGATCTCGAGAGGCGCATTTTTGTCGGGAATTTGCCAACCTCTGAAATGGACAAGAAGGATTTAGAAGAGATGTTCCGCCCATATGGAAAGGTTCTTGGTCAGTAATGTAAACACTTCGATTTTCCAACCTTAAAATTCATCATCATAAAGCAAAATTTACCAGAGTTCTCACAGGAATCGAATTTCAATCAATTTTTCTGAAATGTTTATGGTTTCAGGCGTTTCCCTGTTGCGTGGGTTTGGATTTGTACAATTTGATCGTGTTGAGGATGCCGAAGCAGCAAAGGCAGGCCATAAGGGTCGAATATTTAAAGGTTATAAGATAGGTAAGCCTCAACAGTGGATTCAGAAATTGTTCTCTGCCATGGACAGAAGATTTATTCGTTTTACTCTTTTACGTCAGTTCTGAATCAAAATCTACCTAATCTTTTGTAACTTTAATATTTGGCATACAGTATGACTATAAAATTAAGGGCTGCATGATAAAAAGTATGAATGAAAAGTATTTCATGGCAAATTTTCTGACAAGCATTGTGACTGCGTTTTAGTTTTACAATTTATGTTTTAATAATGGTATTCTGTTCAAATTTCACATTTTAAATTAATCCAGAGGATTTGTCAAAGATTGAAATGAACTGAACTGAACTAAACTAATACAGTCACATTTTAGAATTACCGGGTTAGCTGTTTGAACACTGAATAAGAGGAGATCTATTTTCTGGAGGTAATTACTGCAATGGGAAATTCTGAATTCTGAAATTGTAATTTCAATTAGATTTTATGCAGCCCTAATAATATTTTGATTTGGGATAAACGGGCAACTGCTATGTTCAGAAAAATAAATGAATGAAGACTATTTGCCTCTTCAATTTTATTTTCATATTTTGTGAATTGTGGATTTAAAAAAAAAATTGACACCTTTGCTGCATTTTGAACCGTCAGACATCTTTGACTGCCAAGCCTGGAGTTATGGCGCCCATTGGATGCTGGGAGTATTGACGCAACTCCTCAATTCTGCTACGTGTACAGAAATAATTTGTATGTCACTGTTTTCATCGTTTGGATTGATTTATTTTCAGATGTAAATATGGCAGTGGAGCGACGAAACCAAAAAGCACAAGCACAGCAGAGCCCCCCACGAAGGTAAAGTCACGCAAAATGGGTCTGATGGACTTCCATGCCCGTAGATGCACTTTTAACTTGGCCTGTCCTTCGAGCACCGATATCCACTATACAAGCTACTCATAATATAATGCGACATGACGGATTTAGTATTGTTTTTTACTGAACCATCTACATTTAAACAAGTTAACTGTGTTGAAATAAAACAACCATTACAAGGTACATTTAATTGTTTTGTATTCAATGTTTTTGCTAGTGATTTAACATCAGCATTACCAGTACGAAGTCTGAAGGTTTATGCCTTAAAATGATTAGATTAAATAGACTCATCATTGATGAAGCGTCATCAAGCAAAGCTGATTTGAGATCTTTGTTCATAATAAAATGATTTGGGATCTTTGTTTTAAAATTATTTGAGATCTTTGTTCACACAACTTTGCGTCCACCGACTTGCAGAACTGACTCCTTTCCAACAAGTGTGCTGGACAGGAGTAGAGAAGAAATGATCAATGGCAACCCGTGACATCACTTTTCTGGGCTGACCAAACGGCTTCTTCTCAAACATTTCCAAGCTCCAGTTCCTCTCGTGTGCGAAAGCGTGTCTAAACGTGCTGAAAAATTTACAAACTGCAGTTCATCCCTGGATCGGGGGACCAGTGTCGGACTGTGAAACTGGTTGAAACCATGGAGGCTGCATTTATTTCTCTTTTTGAAGCTATTGCACCTTTGAAAACGTTTGACATTTATGACATTTTCAAGTAAAATTTTAAACATGCATAGGTTTGTGTTAAACTTTTAATCTAGTTTGTTGATTGTGTAATTTAAATCAACTGCATCCGTATTGCGTACTAATCATTTGATGCCCTCACATGATATAATAAAATTTCATTCTTGCTGTTGAATTCATTTGCAATGTACTGTTCTAATTCACACAGTGGCTAATATTTAGTGAGTCAAGGATAAAATATTGGTGTCATTGGTTTGGTTTTAAAACACCTTACTGGATCTGTATTTTTCAGAAGAACAGTATGGATCATGTGATTTTTATGAAGTGCAATATAATTTTGGGAGTTGTTTAAAATGCTGTCAAGCCATCGCATTTATTAGTCTCTAAAGAAACACCGATTAGAATAGAGAAGATTCCATCTACAACTGTCTTCCTCTAAATGTTTTCTTCTCCTTCCCAGGCCTCCACCCAGTTCTTATGGAGCGAGAGAGCCTCGCCCTCGGTCTCGTTCACCTAATTACAGTCGAGAGGTACGTGAGCCACGGGACGGCCGCGATGCTAGAGACAGCCGCTCTAGCCGGGACAGTTACCGTGGCTCTGAGAGCAGAGACAGGTGAGTTTCTCATCGGTTCTTAATGTCAGGGAAATCCAGGACAACAAAGACGCAAGTACATCTATGTCACATGTAGGGATGAGTATGACAGGCACTATCGGACCGGACCTGGTGATGACTACTTTCGCAGAAAAGAAGAGGCTTTCAGGGACTTCAGAGATCCTAGGAATGGACGGCGTGAGCTAGAAGGTATGTCTGTTAATTATATCTTTAGTAATGTGTAGAATATATTTCTCTTTTGGTTGTTTGCAGTATTGGTATTGGTACAGCAATTTAACACAGTATGTGCTGCTGTGACAGATGAACACATGCGACCAGAGGAACGGCGGCGCAATGAACTGTACCGACAATATTATGAAGAACTGCAGCGACGCCAGGACTCAGAGCGTCCAGTCGACTGCTCGGTCATTGTGGTCAATAAGGCACAGAAGTAAGTACTATGAACAAAAAGGCTTTATTGAAAAGCATCCTAAATTGCCATCTGCTTGTCTCCATGGTGATATTTGCTTGTCTGAAATGTTCCACGTATGTTTTAATGTCTATTTTCCAATTACCAATAGCTTGAGCCATGCATTCTTACTGTGAGCAGTCGTGATGAGCAAGCTAAGCCATAACGCACGCTCAAGCAGCTGGTCAGGTGGCTCAGTGACAAATGCAGCATGTGTCGTTGGTCCAGTTGCTCCTCTGTTGATATAATGTACAGTGCTATGAAAAAGTATTTGCCGCCTTCCTGATTTCTTACTTTTTTGCTTGTGTGTCACACTTAACTGTTTCAGATCATCAAACAAAGAGAACCCAAGTAAACATAAAATGCAGTTTTTCTGTGATGATTTTATTTAAGAGAAAAATACTATCCAAATCTACAAGATCCTGTGTGAAAAAGTAATTGCTCCCCTTGATAAATGATGAGGTAACTGTGAACTCAACTTTCCACAATAATACGATCAATTTCATAACCACACCCAGGTCTAATTGCTGCCAGACCTTTCAAATCAAGAGATCTCTTACAAATAGAACCTGTCTGACAAGGTGTAATAGGGCATATTGAACCCAAGAAATCATGCCACGATCCAAAGAAATTCAGGAGCGGATAAGAAGAAAAGTAACTGACGTGTCTGTCAGAAAAATGTTACAAAGCCATTTCTAAATCTTTGGGACTCCCGCGAACCACGGTGAGAGCCATTAGAAACCATGGTACAGTGGTGAACCTTCACAGAGAACACAGCAACGACTGATCCAAGAGGTCACAAAAGAACCCAGAAGAACATCTAAACAACTGCAGGCCTCACTTGCCTCAGTAAAGGTCAGTGTTCACGACTTAACCATAAGAAGGAGACTAGGCAAAAGTGGTATGCATGGAAGAGTTCTAAGGAAAGCCACTGCTGACAAAAAAGAACAAAAAGACTCATCTCACTTTTGCCTGAAAACATCTTTATGATCCCCAAAGCTTTTGGGAAAATATTTTGTGGACTGATGAAACAAAAGTTGAACTTTTTGGAAGGAGTGCATCCCGTTAACATCTGACATAAAATTAATACAGTATTTAAAAAAAACAAAACATCATGCCAACAGTGAAACATGGAGGTGGTAGTGTCATGGTTTGGGGCTGCTTTGCTGCTTCAGAAGCTGGATGATTTGCTGTGATTGAAGGAACCATGAACTCTACTTTCTACTTTTTCCAACAAATCCTGAAGGGGAATGTCCAACCATTGGTTTGTGACCTCAATCAGAAGCGCACTTGGGTTCTGATGATCCAAAGCACACCAGCAAGTCCACTTCTGAAAACCCAAAATGATGGTTTTGGAGTGGCCTAGTCAAAGCCCAGAGTTGAACCCAGTTGAGTTGATGTGGCATGACCTTAAAAAGGGTGATGTGTGGCTCATTTAAAAAGAAAAAGTTGCAAAGAGTGGGCCAAAATTCCTCCACAGCGATGTGAAAGACTCATTGCCAGTTATTGCAAATGCTTGACTGCACTTGTTGCTGCTAAGGGTGGTTCAACCTGTTAGGGGCAGTTACTTTTTCACATGGGCCGTGTAGATTCACATGGCTTTTTTTCCTTAATAAAATAAATCAGCACTTACAACTGCATTCTGTATTTACTTCTGGATTATTTTTGTCTAATATTTAAGTTTGATTGATCTGAAATGGCAAAGAGTGATGGAGGTGAAAAAAAAGAAGAAATTGGAAAGGGGGCAAATACTTCTTCACAGCACTGTACTGCAAGGCACAATAAACCTCACTTAAAGTATGATTTGATCCATATTTAACAAACCTGGGCAAAATACTTTTGCATTTGCATATTTTTGCAGCACTCAGAGGGAGTGTTCATCTCTCATTGATTCATCTTTAAATCAAAAGTGCAAAATGAAACAAGCAAGAGGCAGACACAAGGCACTGTATCTCAATTCAAGGGTATAGTCTTAACGTTTTACCACATTGTAACTGCAAATTGTGTGCTCCAGTAACATCTTTTATGAAAAAAAGAGAACTCTCCACCACAAAAGTTACTATATGCAGTTTTAAGCTCCGTAGAGAATGGCGTTAATACTTAAGTGTGGCTTGTTTTTGTGATTTAACCGTAGTCGGGAGTATGCTGAGACAGTTGGGCGGAAGGTGCGTGATCTGGGCATGGTGGTGGACCTGATCTTCCTGAACACAGAAGTGTCTCTCACTCAGGCTCTGGAGGATGTTGAACGATCACGCACTCCCTTTGCCATTATTATTACTCAGCAGCACCAAGTCCATCGCTCCTGCACAGTCAACATCTTATTTGGGACCCCTCAAGGTACATATTTAAAAACCTAACTATGTTGTTTTTGTGAGAAGCATTTTTAACCTTTTTAAAATGGTTCACTGTTACAGAGCATCGTAACATGCCTATGCAGGATGCTATGATGTTGATAGCCCACAACTTTGGCACATACAAAGTTGAAAGCCGTGATAAGGAACGTGAAGAAATAGCCCGAAAAGCTGCTAAAATGGCAGATGATGTGCTGTTAAGGGAACCAGACAGAGAGAGTCACCCAGTGTCTGCTCTCACTCCTATCACACTTCTCTATGAAAACAGGTAATTATCATAAATTGTACATCTATTTGCTTCCTTTCTGACAACAGTGCTGTTGTGTGTTCATCTTTGTCCTTAGATTTGTAACCCCAGAGGAACTAGATATTTTAATTGCATATCTGAAAGACAAAAGGGCCCGACTTGTACGGCCTGCTGTAGATGCCCTTCCAGGTACGACTTTTCATGTTTTAAATGGTAAAACAGCACATACAACCCAGGGAATTTTTTTTTTAATCAAAGTATCCTCCTACAGCCTCACTGGGAGCTCCCCCTCCTTCTGCTGCAGGACAGCCCCCTCCAAGTCGCCCTTTGTCCTCTGCACCAGGTGCTCCGCCCACTTCAAGCAACCAACAGGAGCTCCAGGCTAAAATCCTCAGCCTGTTTACCAACAGTGGAGCAGCAGCCTCTGCAAGTGCTCCCCCTGTAGGTGCAGTACCATCACAGGGATATGGTGCTATGGCCCCTTCTTCTCATTCAGGCCCCTCTCAGGCCCCTCCTGGCCCACACTCTGCGATGTCTCATTCAGCTGTGGCCCAGAGCTATGGACCTCCACAGGGCCGTTTGCCCCCACCTGGTCATAGACCCCCCAATCCTTCTGCACCCATTAACTTTGACAGCCCCAGTGTGCAGAAAGCGCTGGATACCCTCATTCAGAGTGGACCATCTCTTAACCATCTGGTGGCTCCAGGAGCTCCACAACATCCCCCACCCAGACCAGGCCTTGGCATGGGACAGGCACCTCCCCCCATGTCCATGTACCCTCGACCTTACTGAACCCATGCAAATGTATTTAGGATTAGACTGTGCTGTGTTCAACTTCTCCCATGAGACCGCACAGATTTGCTCTGCAGTTTCTTCAGTATTCTTCTGGAATCTGTGTACTATTAGTTGTGTTTGGCCATCTAAATAAAGTCTATTTAGTGTTTTATTTAGTTTTAAAAGTGCATAAGCTGAATCTTGCAAAGATCATCAAAGACTCTTGTCCATAACAAGTTTAAGTGTAAGTGCTGCATGACTTTTGTTTAATAATGGATACTTACCAGCGTTTGTAGTTTAATTGTTGGATGTTTTTAATTTTTGAACATTGTTAAAAGAAACAAGACACGATTAAAAAAAACATATACTCGACTGCTGTATTAAAATGGTATTGGTTTATTGCATTTTGTGCTGACAAATCTATAAAATGGAACGGTATCGCCAGAAGCCATAGATACTGTATAAGCATTTGAAATGTTAAGATAAAACTACTTTTTCCTCTTTTAATGTACCATGAAACACAATAGAGAATACATGTTTTTATTTGTAATATTTAACTTACACTGACAAAATAAACACCTCCACACTAATTGTAATTATTTACATATAGATCCCCCCTCCCTGCCCACCACCCCGCCCACCAGCAGTCACAAAGTACGACATACACTCCCACAAAATAAAAAAAAATAAAATATATATATATATATATATATCACTAGAGCTTTACCATAAAACTAGGTGCCGTAAAAGGAAAATAAAAACAAGGTTTTTAATAAGTCAGAGCTATTTACCAAACTCAATTGAATCCAACTACTCCAGTGAATTCCACCAGGTAAATTTTTGGTCATGTTAAATCAATGATTTCTTACCTACTTTTTCAAATCAACATACAGAATATTAGAAATGTAATTCACTGGAGTCTATAAATGTATGCATTTATGTTAACTAAAATATACAACAAGTTTATCATGAACGTATTTTGGTACTATACTATATTGTCTTAATACAGTGAGTGGCCAGTTCTATGGTGAGTACAAATCATACTACGATAAATAAATGTAGTCTAACTCAAGCAAAATACCTTTAGTAACCACAGACACTCAATATTTTTTTCAATACGCCATGTTCAGGGTAATTGCATGCATGCACTGAGTTACATAACTGGAACATGGCTCTGTATGAACAGCATGGACAGTCACCCAATTATTTTCACATGTTCCCAGACAGAGTAAGTAAATAGTGCTTGTTCTACCACTACTATCTGGGACTTGTCTTTTTTCCAATTTGTTCTTGATCATTTGAGTTGTTTTTGACAGACATCCACCTCTGCCAGGTAACACTTGTGTTTCAGAGCCCTTTAGTGTCCATGTAAGGATGGAGACTTGGTAATGATCACCGGCGAGTTTGTCTCATGCTACAGTTGTGCAGGCGAACAATCTGATCAAATTGTGGATCAGTGTGGGAGAGGGGACGTGCTGGCCTTTGTCTCATGGTGTCCAAGCAGAGCCAGAGCCAGAATTGGAAGCGCAAGTTTATATTCTTTGATCATTTTCCAAAACAACACAGCAATCAAATGTAAAATACACAGCTGGGTGGGTGTTGTGGCAGGGATGGGGGATGTCAGGGTTTTAGGAGTGATGGGCTCGGGAGGGGTGGAGGGTCAGGGTAGGCTCACCTCACAAATTGAATAACAAACATTAGAAATGTAACGCTTTTTTCTTTTTTGGAAAATTTGGCAAATCTAAAAGTGATGCATGCTTCAGGTAAATAAACACGGGTGCGAACAGAATGAATCAGTTTGTAGGTCTGGATTATTGCAGTTAATAACTGCAGCAAATTAACAGGGCTTTTTCTTAGTTCTAAGATGTAAAACACTCAAACGCCACCAGAGGTCAGTCTTGGACTGAGTCTACTCATTTTTCCAGACAAACCAATGGTGTAAAACGCTTCACAGCCCACGAATTTATCAATAGAATGACTCCAGCCACTTTTGGGACAAATACTGGTGTTTATGGTCCAAAAGACCGCATGATAAAAGACTCAACTGGTGACACCTCCAGTCACTGAGCAAACAAAAAGTGAGTACAATATTGCACATAATTGTACATAACTAAGACTTTCATCCACAGTGATAAAACAGTGCACAACAAAAGACAACAATAGTAGATTACAGTGACTGTGAATATATATTTACAACAGTGAGATGACCATATTTAAGATCCATCCATTCACAAACTTAAAATATCCTACAATGGTAAATGAGACTATATGAGCAAGACTGAAGTAGAACAAGTAACAATATAGTGAACCACTCTTCTTTTTTATTTGCATGAGATTTGTTTTCAAGGTCTAGCCATGTATGTGTATGGCACTCACTCCTGAGTTATCCATATATGTAACCCGGACTATCTTTTCCCACTTTGAACCTTGAACACTTACGTCATCACTATAGAAACCACTGAAACAAATATTGCCACATAGTGCCATGCAAACAGCGTTTATAAAACATTTATAATTCCATAAATAATATCATTTTCAATAAACTTTTCCAATAAAACATCAGATATCTTTTAATAAATTTAAAAGGCTCAGTTGATGCAGGCAATGTAGTGGAGACAATCTCAAAATAGCTCTAAAATAGTTCAACTTGACAAAAAGCATTGAAAGGTCTTCATAACTTGGCACTCAGAACTCTAGGAGTGGCTTCTGATAAGTGTCATAGGTAGCAATATTAAAAAATTCGTCAACAGCAGATGGATGGATACTGTAAAATTATTATTATTTTTTAATATTTTGAGTATGAATAATTTATGTGATTTGAGATAGTAATTAAGAGATCTTCAGTAGGAGGAATAAACACAAAGTGGGTGGGCCCTCAGAAGGAATATTGCAACGAGGACTTGTTATGGTATTTTGAAACAGAACCCTGTCCAGAAGTCTTAGGCCTACAGTGTACAGGTACAGCCTTATCTTATTCAACCACCACCACTGATATGTATGTCTATACCCTTTTCACTTGAGCTTTTATGTTGTTTTATTCTCTATTTACAGTACAAAGAAATATATTGAGACTAGCAGCATTCACAACATATGGTCCAACATTCAAGCAACACTAAAACATTGAATATTGTTTTAAATAGATCTAGAAACTATTCTGTTTTGCTTTTTTATATAGTATATACTGTGTATATATACGTATTTATTATATTTATATATCTCTATATACTACAAGTGCAAATGACCAGAAACAGTTTCTCTGATAAAGAAACCAAGAATTAAATGATTAAAGTGACAGCTGTCCTTGGTCAGAGTGAGATGATTCAAAATTTATATAATGTACATATACAAAATACAATATAGGCTATGTGTAAAAAAATAAATAACATGATCACATGAGTCCGGATTTTCCACTATTGCACATTTCAGATGCACTCTTAATGCCTCTGTGAAATCCATGGTCGTTTGTCCGCAAAGTGTGACTCAATTCTGAAACCAGTCAAGAGGATAGAAAATCTCACTGGAGAGTCTACTGCATAGAGGTCACTCATGTGGACAGAATGTGTTTCTGAGCTACAGAAGCCATTGTCCTTTCTACATACCATCGCCATCGTCCATTACTTGGACCATTTTGATCAACTCTAACATTTTAGGTCCCTGCCAAAGAGTTTTAGAACTCGATTTATAGCCTGGCTCAAAAAATATTTTAAGTTATGGCACATTTAAATTTGGCAAAACCACTTCACATCTTTGAGTCACAATCAAAATTATATATTTCCTATAATATATATAACTATGTGTTATTACTATGAATACATAATTGTTCTTTAAATGAAAAATTTTGTGTTTTTAAACTTGATGATAACCATCAATATTTCACATGTTGCACAGTGGAGGAACAGTGCAGGTGCAGTGTGTTGTCAGTGACAGAAGCTATCCAAATAAATAAATAAATAGATTAACTTTAAAAACAGCATTTTGTGTCTTCTTTCCACTGAAAGTAATTTTTTTTATAATGTCACAAAAATACACTCATACCGAACACCGCGTCAGAGCTTGTACATTATTTACAGTGGTCCACACGAGGGTCATGTTTCCTCGAGGGAGCTGTCCTACGACTGTCTCCCCACTTTGCGGTCACACCAGCCTTCTGCTAGTAAAACACACTATTCACAGTATAAGTACGTGTCAATCTCTATGAACTAAGCTAGCCTCGGCGTTGTTTTTTGGCACTAACAGTGGCTACAGGAATAAACAGCCACTAAGAAATTAGTAGTAAGAAAACACAGCATTCAACAGAACACATGGATCACACACAATTAATAGGACATCATGCTGAAGGGGTGGTCAGTGGGGACATTAGCGCTGCTGCTCATTTTTTCATTCATTCTCAGGGAATTCAAAGTTCTCTTTCTTCTGTTCTCTCAAGCTGGTGGTTGTGATGAGGGATAGTCTTTAGCCTTGAAACATAACCACATTAAAGACTATTGGAGGTGTCCATTTACACAGGGGAACCAATCCTTATCTTCCAAGCAGATGCCATCCAATTTTTTTGAGAAAATAAGATAAGCGCTGGAGAGGTCAGAAACGATAACAACAACCAGTGCCCATGCATACTGTAAGTGCTCACACCTTCATCTCACGACCGCCCATCGCTGTCTTGGTGTGAGTTACAAAAAGAAAGATATATAGACGAAAAGAAAAAAAAAAGTCTCTTCACAAACAAATATAGGTAGCATCTATAAGTTGATCTAGAGCCTACATTGGTTATAGGAGCTGAATGGACTACAGTGTGATGCGGTTGGGTGCAAAAGCTGAGCGGGGTGATGGGTCAGGTGTGAGATGGTTGGCGCATAGAAAGATATGTTGAGAGGCAGAGTATGGGAGCTGATAAGGAGGGAGAGGATGAGAGAAGAAGGGGCTTAACGTGTGGGTGGGGACTGGGTCCTGGAGGGCTGGTTTTTCAGGAGTAGATGGTGATGACCTCCCGGCCACCTCCACGGACCAGGAGCACCCTGTTCAGACCCTCAGTGAGGACCTCAAGGAATTCCATGTCTGATAAGAGCAGGTTAAGTAGACATTAATGTCAACCAATCACTATCAGCAATGCAAGTAACTAAAAGATGCAGATTGTGTTTTAATAATAATAAATAATAATAATAATAATGCATCAGTTTTATATAGCACTTTTGTGGACACTCAAAGACGCTTTACAGAGCATTATTCACTCCAAACCTGGTAGTGGTAAGCTACTTTTATAGCCACAGCTGCCCTGGAGCAGACTGACGGAAGCGAGGCTGTCAATCTGTGCCATGGGCCCCTTCGACCATCACCATCACTCACACCACTTTCATACTAGGCAACGTGGGTGAAGTGCGGCACGTGATTTTCCCAGTGACCTCCCATCCAAGTACTGACCAGGTCTGGCCTTGCTTAGCCTCTGAGATCTGACGGGATCAGGCTTTGACAAGCCGGTATATTAATAAGAGTAATGTTTAATTTTTGATAATAGAAAAGATACTTAATAATTAATGTAACTAATTACAATAGGGTACAATAAAAGTTTTGGTTAAAAATTTCCTTGATTAGTTGCCTGGCTGTGGTGCAATTTTTCTGAAAGCAAATGACAGAAGTGAGACAAATGTATAGTTGGAGTGTGATTGAAAGTAGCACAAACTTCAAAAACTTAAAGGGCTGTATTATCTTATTTTCTCTTGTTTCCTCATCAAAAAATACCTGGGTTTTTGCTTTGTTTCATTCACACATGTTTAACAATATCCTGCATATTTAGACTGGGTTCTCTCAAAATGAAAATACTCTGTTCCACCTTGTGATGTCATGTGGTAATGCAGGAAGTGCTCCACTGTGTTTTTAAACTTCATACACCTTCACTAGAATCATTTTGATAATTTCAGCCCTTGATTTCCAAATCTCTACAAAACAAAAGCTGTTACTTTGAAAACTACCAGCACATGACATCACAAGGTGGAACAGAGCATTTTGAGCCTTGAAGATGTGATTAATAATAATAAACTAGGGTTACTCAAGCATGTATTAATGGAACAAAACACAACTCCAGGTATGTTTTTAGAAAGGTAACAACATTATAACATGGATTAATGGATTTTATGCAATATAGTACCTTTAATATTTACACATATTTTACTATATAACTTGCATGAGAAGAGAAACACAGGAGCATCTTCATTCAAACACTTAGACCTAGCACCAATGTCTGTGTCAATTATAATAATTATGTGAGTGAGACGTTTTATATATTAGGCTACTTATCTTTATACTTTTCTGTTGAAAGAATAGTACTTTTTGTGATCTCAAATATTGTGTCAGACAATGTCAGATATTATAATTTTTAGTATAGCATTGTTTCCCAGATTAAGTAAACTAACTGACTGGTGAATATTGGTTGCTTTGGTTATTTCTTCCCTGTTAAGGATACAGTTTTCGTCTCCTGTCCGGTTCCTGGGCGGCCCGGGCATGTTGAGGAGGACTAGCTTGGCCTCAGCTGACTTCTTCATGATGACTTCATTGAGCCTCAGTGCTGTATGCATACGTCGAACATTGGACTGGTTCCTGGCAAGACAACAAAAAGTGGAGGTGGAATCGATTAACGCTAATTAAAGGCCAACACTATGTGAGATGGTTTGATGCATTTTGTGAATCAGGAGCTTATAGTGGTTTCGGATGCCCATTCACACAACTACTCTGTCCTCTGCACATGGCCTCAATGAGATGTGCATGGACAGAATGGGTTTTATATGGACTTCAGTACTTACAGGTTTTCCCATTCGCTGCAGCATGGTAAGAAGAGAAACACAAGATTATACACAAGAAATGTAACAACACTTTTTTAATAGGCCCATTTATGATAAATACTCCTTACGCCCTGGTCTATTAGCTTTATTTGCACACATGCAAATAAAGCTAATAGACAAATCATGTGGGTCATAAATCAACTGACTGTTAACAATGTAAAAAAGAACATCTGACCTCTTGTATCCCCAGTCTTGATACTAATAGTCCATAGAATGAGTCATTTATTCATCACGTTAAAAAAAAAAGAAAAACAATCAACTGAAATTTGCTTCTTAAGTTTTTCCCTATTTAAAAGGTAAATTTTTTTGCATAAAACTTTACAGACTAAAGAGTTGCATGTTGCATGCATGTTGTTTCATTCAACAATAATGAGTAAACAGAACAGTTACCAGTCCTAGAAATAATTGAAATTAAAATTAGTATTCATATTCCAGTCTGAACATCTCTATAGTATTCATGTTCCATTAATATGACACTAACAAAAGCCCATAGCCATTATAGCTAAAGGTTAACTGGTCATGTGAAAGCACTCACGGCTTCATGTTGAAGATGTCTTTGAGGCCCTCTGGTGTAGCTGCGCCAGGGGGTTTAGCTGCTTCTCCATCACACTTCTCAGTCCAGGTCATCTGGACCTGCGTCCCAGGACTCTGCACCTCCTCAGGGGTGAGTGGGGTGGCCGGGGTGGCGGGGCTGGCGGGGGTGGTGTTGTCATGGATGAGCTGCACCTGTGCAGGGGAGGACACAGGGGGAGAAGTCGACTTTGACTATGGGAGGAGAGGAGGACGGATGTGGTTTTACATGTACATTACATGGGAACAAGTTAGAGTAAAGGTTTGAGGTGGGAACGTAGGATATGTTTGAGAGAGGAGAGGAAACACAAGTATTGTTTATGTAGAGTTCTTTTGTGTGGTTTCCAAGATGCCTTCAGCGATGAACAGACTTCTTTAACCCATATAATGACATCACACATAGAGAATCACTATTCCTGGGTTTCAAGCTAAGGCACCAGGGATCCATGTCAAAAATATAAGTGAGAATATAAAGGGTACATAAGGTAGGTAACAGGTCATGACTTGTAGGCAACTAAGTAAGGATGTACAAGTTATGTTTAGTATAATACTCAATTTTTCTACAAAGATAGATGGGTAATTTGGAATTATACCAAGTGAATAAAGTTGCAGCAAGTCATAAAACAGCTTCTTCTGAAACTGGATAGCATGTTTGAGCATATAACTTTATCACACTATTAACCTTCCCATTGGCTGATTTCCAGTGAAAATATTTTAGCAACAAACCATGAATGTGCCACTGGGTTTTAACCTGCCCATACCTCCTCCTCAGGCTTCTCCTCTTTGCTGGCAGCTGGGGGTTCCTCGGTCACACTGAGCTGAGTGGTGACTGCAGCTGGGTTCTTACGACGGATCGACCCACGGGATGAGTCAGTGATGCTCTGGATCTGTGAGGAAAGCAAGTGGCAGAGTAAAAAGGTTTATGAGTCACAACGAAATAAGAAATATGTAGCATTCTTTGTCTTCTTTAAATAATAATTCTTAATGAAAAAGATTTATTTTATTGCAGCCATATACAAGTTTTGTAAATATGAGAAAGCAGGCCCTGCACTGTATTAAAGCTTCATCTCCAGAGGGCTAAAATGCCATCTTCTATCAAAGCAGCTAAGGCATGCCAAGTGAGGCCTTCAAGTCCTGTCAAGTTTGTTTGTGCATCTCTGAGCCATGTTCACTGCATAAACATAACAAATGAAATGAAAACACAGCAGCAGCTGTAGGAGTAGCAGTAGTAGTACCTCTCTTTCACGCTCATTCTTAGTCAGGTTGATCTGTTTTAGCATCTGTGATCGCTGCTCCATCACCAAGGTCTTCTCATAAGTGTAGGCTGAGATGTCACTGTCTTGCTGCATCGACAAACACAGTGTTACAGGCTAAGAAAACTGAATTCACACCAACATAAAAATAACATTTTGAATAATTGAGGGAAAACTGCAAAATGCATCATGCCCTAGAAAAGTCCTCCCTTGTACAAGTTCAACCCACTTGATCTTGAGAATCTCTGATGTAATCATTATGAAATCTAAATCTACAATGTGCAGTGTGCATTAGTGCAGCATTAAACCTATTCAAAAGCTTACCATTTCCACCACTTCCACCATGGCGTCAATACGAAGGTGATAGAGGAATGTGGTTAGGTCCTTCTTCATCTGTATGCTGTTGTCATCCATCTGAGCCACAGTGAAGATGCGCATCTTGCACTTCCTCCAAACCTAAGACACAAACATCATGTATTCACAGATCATATGGTTGGATATATGCATATGCCCTGCATTTAATGTATAGAAAATGACTATGTGTGATTTGCTCTAATACTTTTAGTTTTACAGTCTTGTCATAATTGTACCTTGTGCTGGCGCAGGAGGAAAGGCAGCAGCATGAGCATGCCTCCATCATGGACGATCCACCACACGTCGATGTGACCCTCAGTGAAGCGCTCTCCATTGGATGGGAAGGCCGAGATGTTCTTAGGCACGAGCAGAGCCAAGTGAGCAGCTGTGGTTTCTCTGACAAGCTCTGTAGAGTTAAGGTTTACAAATTAACCAAAAATATATCTATATCATATAAAAACAAAAGTATTTTTTATTTTATTTTACTGGTCTAACCCTGTAGTAACTAACCAATAAAGTTCCTCCAGTGCTGGTGCTCGTCTCCCTGTTTCCAGTTGCGTGGCCAGGACACCAGCACAGCATTGTGTTTGAGCCCTCCCAGCCCACTGGCCTGGAGCAGGTGGGACGTTGCATCACGCAGGTTTGATGAGACAGTCACCTGACTGAAGCCCTTCACCTTCTCTGTCTCCATCAGTTTACGCAGTGCCTTACAAAAGACAAGGAAGGAAATATGTCAGACAGAATGATAGACAACCTGGATTCCCTCAAGATTAGTCAATACACAAGCCATTTGTCCTTGTTTTTCCAGAATGTATTCATACATTCACCTTTATAAGCCTGAATGAATGACCACTCAATACCTCAGAAAAACAGAAAAAAAAAAAAAAATGATTGAATGAAATAGATTTACCACCCTGACTCAGAAAAAGTCAGACGACCAAAGTTTGCAGAGCCTTGGTTGATGCATAATGTGTTTATTGCTCTTATTTTATGTCCTAATAATGTAACTCCCTAATCACACTACTATTTCCTAGTATTGAGAAGACCAGTCGAGTACCTGCTCTGCGCGCTGCGCTCGGTCATGGTTTTCCAGGTAAGTGCCCTCCAGAGCTGTGCCCACGATAGTCAGGCCTTTGCCCGCCTTCAGCTGGTTAGTGAGCGAGAGCAGGCGCGGCTGCTCAATGTTCTGCTCAGCATCTGTACTGACCAGGACCAGCAGCTGAGGCCTGATGAGAAGAGAGGAGAACGGGGAGGGGAGAGTGAAAATAGAGGGCAGGAGATTGGAAAGGGAGTAAATGAGGCAGAATGAAGAGTCAAATTAAGGCGCCAGAAAAGAAATGGCTGAGCGGCCCAAGTAAAAGTACTAGTTGGGAAAGAGAGACAGAACAAAATAACAAAAATGTTGATGTGTTAATATGAATCTGATCATTGATGGTGGCAATTACAGAAATGGAAAAGCATTAACAAAACATACAGGCATGTGAATTTGACATTATGATACCTCCAGTTCTTTGTGTGTGGTGGGCCTTCTTCCAGCCGCATCAGAGCATAACGTGCAGCGCTCAGAGAGAGACCACGGATTCCATCACCCCACTCTTTCTCTGCCCTGTAAAAAAAATAACACACATATATATATATATATATATATATATATATATATATATATATATATATATATATATATATAAATGTTATTACAGAACAATGACTTGTTCACACTGAGAAGCAAATAATTTCCAATAGTTAACACAGACTATAAAGAAAAATCCTGCCCAAGTTAAAACATGGGCTTTGAGGATGAGGATAGACATTTAACCTCCCATCAAATTACCAAATTATCAATTTATTTATTTATTTACTTTATGTCAATAAGTTAAAAATGCCACTCATTTGAGCCTTTAGTAAAATGATTAACCCTTCTGTGATACCTAATGCTGGTTCATGTTGATCTATAAGCCTAAAATGTTACATTTCCTCCAACAAAATTGAAAGTGAAAAACTTTTAGAGCACCTGGACACACTCACGGACGCACACACAGGAGCCAGCTAATACTAAAGGCACTGAGCGAATCCAATCTCTTCAGGGGTTGCGCTCCACTCACCCTGCAAACTCGATATACTTGTAGATAGAGCCGGCAATCACCATGGCGACGATGGCGTAGTACCAGGAACAGAGGAACATCAAAGTGAGGCACAAACTCATTCCCAAAAAGGACAGAGCCCTGTGTAAGACCAGACCGGACAGTTTAACTTAACTACAAGTACTATCAAGGGATATAATAATTCATTGGTTATTCAATAGATGTAATTAAGAAAGTATAAATAAGTTGATTACATCTACCTATGGGTTTTAGAATGATGAAAATGTAGGAATGTTGTCACAGAAATGATCAGTTTATATTATGTCTTTTGTATGGTCATAACTCCTCAAAATGTCACTTATGAAGAAAAAACTGAAACTCATGAATACACCAAGAATGAACCTGAATGAAAAGTGTGTGTGTGCTTTTTTTAAAACCTGGCATAAAATTTCATAAAGTTAGTCACATACTAAAGTAATGTTAATCAGTTGAAAGTGCATTAAGGATTTCACTGTACTTTGGTCATGATGTCAATATAAGATAATCATCATAAAACTTTTTCTTTTATTCTGATAACTGTAACATTGACATTTAATATCATGATATCTCTACAACTGTAGGGTCACGGCACTGACCAGTGGTAGAATTTGAAGCGAGGTCTCCAGTTGGGTGTCCTCAGCAGGGTCTGGAGGGCACAGGCCAGGTTCACAAACATGTAGCACATCAGGAAGAACCTAAAGGGAACAGGCATGGTATCAAAAATTAGATCTTGCTGTTACTTCTATCTCCATAAGCACAAATGTATCTGCTTTCCATGTTTACTTTGTTATTTGTAACGGTTTATTTTATTGGGAGTTGATCATATTTTTTGGTATGTTGTATAATTTAGTTATTTTTTCAATTTGGAAATAAATGCCTTTTGAATCACTGCAAATTCAAATCTGATCTTTTGTCTCAATAGAGTTTGTCATAGCTGCTGATATTTATAAGTATTGGCAGAGCAAATCAGCCCACTGGCCTTTCCTATGACGAGTTAAATCTTGAGTCTTTAAAACTTGGCATTTGCATTGTTTCAGAAGTGGCAGGGGGCTGGCTGCTCTGATATCTGCCACTGCGGGGAGGGAAAGATGGAGGAGAAATAATGAGCATGTTTGGGTGCTCACATGGAGAGAATGGGAGCCACCGAGTCCAGGGAGGCGATGAGGATGCCACTCTCACAAATACAAGCTGTCAGCAGCAGCGACCATGTGGGCTCACCATTGGCCTTCCCGTGCCCAAAGATCTGCAATAACCATACAAACAATACTTCAAACAAGGCATTAACAATTACTTATGCTTCCTTTGGTTTGAGACTACTGGACTAAGATTGGGATTATATGCAATTATTTTCAGTTCATTCAGTGTTTGGACCATTTTATCTAGCATTTCTTTCATGTTTATCTTCTGGTGACTACATTCTACTAGTTGTGTTTATGTATAATAGTATCATATGAGTATTAAGTATTAGCAGAATGTGAGAGAAGTGCTCCATGCAAAAAATCTTGTAGTTTGGCATGTTTTATGAAAAGCCTCACTATTTGTATATCAGCGAAACTTCAATAATGAGAAATAAGACAGCATTCAGATTACTGGCAAAAGTGGTTTGATTGAAAACATGCCTTATATAACTTATATATAATATAATGTCTTACATAATACAATTAGTCAATTATTAGACAAACCCTCAGAGCAGGCACAATCCCGTCCTTTGCGATGGCCTGAAGCAGACGCGGAGCTCCTGTCAAACTCTGAAGCCCCGCCCCACATGTCGAGAAAAACGAGCCAATCACAATGACCCATGGAGAGGGCCAAGCCAACGTACCAATCACCAAGTTCCCATGCACCCCCTCACCAAACCTAAAGCACAGGCAACAACAACATGTTCAAGAAAAATCATCAGATTCAAGATTATAAAAATAAATAAAAGACAGCTACTTACTTGTCCCTAAGGACCACACCCTCGATGCAAGCACCGAAGAGGACCACACTGGACATGTCTGGGAAGTGTTAGTTAAGAAACATATGAATTTAAACTATGTGAAATATATTTAGGTCAATATTTATTTGCCATATGTTTTACTCTGAATGTCCTTCAATGCCCAACCATCCTCATTTATCCTAGTTTGAGGGAGGAATACACAAAAAATATATGCTTGTAAACTAAACATATAGATGATTGTAAGTGTAGACTTCCCCTTTTGAAAATGAACCAGCAAAACATAATTATTTATAGTGATGGAGAAACAGCTCAGTAAATTGTATTTAGAATAATACAGCAGAGTTCAATGACACTGCGACAAATATGGCAATGCTTTATTAACTTGCCGTCGCATAGGCAGCCCATTGATGCGATTAGAAGTCTTAATCAAATTGGAACTGTCTTCAATCTGATTACAGTGAGAAACATTGATGACATCTAAAATGGTTGCTAGTGTAAGAGACACATGTAGTCACATACACTTAAAGAAAATGTATCATATTATATTTGAGATGATGAATTAGGATAAGGTTTGTGGCTGTTTATCTTTGTATTTTCAGAACGTAAACCACCAGGAGAACAGAATACCCTTGGACTAAAAAGATGTACGTATTTAGGCCATGATTGAGACTTAACCTACCTAAGATTTCATTTCTCACATAATTTATCCTGATCATATTCAGACTAGTATTATGGTATGGATTTTCACATTTCACAACATGCTAACCTTTAATTATGATATTCCTAGCAACCCAATCAGAGTGTCTTTTTTATAGACAAGCAAATTACTGCAATGTTCATCTGCAACTGCACTCAAGATTCTACAAAGACTATCTGATTTTTTTCTAACTTGTACATGAATGTACTAAAAACAAATAAAATTGTATGTTTAAAGTATCATAGCTGAGGTTTAATTAAAAGGGTAATGTGTAACATTTCTAGTGGAAGTTCCACCGCCTGATGTCACCATGGAAATTTTATTGTTTGTCTACAATGTTTCAAAGTATAGATTAAACCTATCACAAGGGAGACAAACAATTACAATTCAGATCTGTGGAGAGTTGACCCTATTCACAGGAGCAGTTAAAGTATTTTTGAGCAATAAACACCAATAATGAACAAATGCTCAATGGAAATGTTTTAAGTCATAACATGGAACATTCCAGGCAAAGCAATAACACTTCCTTGGAGACAAGCAGGTGGCGGACCATCCACCAGAAAAGTTGTGAAATGCACCTTTAAGCAAAAATTGGGGATGTGACATTGCAACAATGACTCTTAAGTAATGTATCAAGAATGCTAGTTTGAAGATATGCAAAACTGAATATCGAGTACAATGTTTATAAGAAAAATAAAACTCAAAAATAGCTGCAAAATAACTAAATAAAACTGTACCGTCTTTTCACATTTATCTCATTCTTAAACCTCAACTTATACAGGCTTCAGCACACTTCTGTTGGGTTGACAATAATTACTTTGTGTCCTATATTCCTGCAGGGGGCAGTAGTGAGAGGATACAGACAGTAGAGGTGGTGGTAATGGCGGCAATGGTCCCAATGGGAATGGACTTCTGGGCGTCACGCAGGTCTCCGGAGCGGTTAGAGCCGGCCATGATGCCTGCACAGTGACAGGTCAGGTTATATCAACAGAGCAAATCAGCCTGAATCAATGGGCAAAATCAAAGACACTGCTGTGCATATGTGAGGAGAATTAGAGTTGTACCTGTCACAGAGGGGAAGTAGATGCCCACCAACAGTGTGAAGAAGCTTGTGATGTCTGCCAGCACGTAGCGGTTTGAGCTAGTCAGGGGGTCATCCGCATCTTCCACTGACTCCATGTTATCCCGAGCAATCAGGTCCCCCTTCTCATAGTAGATGGGCAACAGGTTCTCTGAAATTAATTATATACAGAAGGAATATAAATGACCAGTTGCATACATCTATGTCAATAGAATAGAAAATAGGTAATAGAATAACATTACATTTAAAATTTGGATTCTAATGCATAAATGTCGGTCATTAAATGTTTTGGGGCCAGCAGAGTAAAGTTTTTAGAATAATATTTTTAACATTATAATGGTCACTAATATTAAATAAATTAATAATCTTTGCTTTTAAATTCAACAAATGTCAACTTTCACCTGAATAATTTTGTATCCAAGTGCATCTATTCTTTAATTACGTTATGCAATTTTACATGTGACCATCTCCCTCACCATCTCTAGGAGGGACTCCTTCAAGTTTTTAAATTCAGTGCATGGGTTTGAACATTCTAAACAAAATACTTTATCTTTTGAATGTAAAAATGTTCTCTAAATGAGACAAAGTATACAACAGGAAGTTGGAATCCATGAATACAATTTGCCCAGACCTCTAGCTACTATCAAACTTTGATGTTAGAAAAAGAGTGCAAAAATTGTCAGACTTTTCCTATACACTTTTTCGAGTTATAAAATAAGACATACCATTGTCTAAAGTTATTTGAAGTGCTAGGCATTATGTACAGATTTCAGCACTTCCCTCACCTCCTGGTAAAAAAATAACAAGTTTTACCATAGATTTGAAAGTAAACTGACCTGACAGAATGCCGCTGGTGACCCCAGGGATGCCTTGGATCTGAGTGATGTTGTTGGCGGCGAAGTACTTGTCGCAGGTGGCGTTCAGTAAGGGAGAGTCACAGAACATCTGCCAGAGCTGCGTGGTCACCGTCCCATTGGCCGTCTCTACAGTCTTAGCACACACGTCGAAGCTTTTCCACATCAGGGTGCGGTTCCCCAGCAGACACACTCTGCATTAAGCAGTCACATGATGTTTTATTATGTTAATAACTTTGGAGTAACAATTCATTACTTTGAGAAATACTTTTATTTCTAAATTTGAGATTTAATTAAATGACAGCTACAGCATTTGGTCCTCACACATACCAACAGCAGATCAGAAATTAGATGCACAATTTTGACTAAATTGAAAAAAAAAAAAAAAAAAAAAGTACTAGCTAAATGCGTCATGTTTGAAATGCCCATAAACATAAACTATTTAAAACAAATATCAATAGAACCACACGGTAAGTCAGTGCTTGTAAATACATTTATCTCATAGTATAGTCAGAATACTTTTGAATGAATGCCAAGCTTACTACTTAACATCTTAAAATCTCCATTGGTTTAAAATTAGGCTACACAACGCAATCCTGAGCTCTATTGCAAAGTTACACATAACCTTCACAGCGACCAGGTCACAGACATCTTGCCTGTTGTCTTGTTTGTAACATTTCATCGACATTTTGTGAGTGCACTTACGGGAATACTGGTGGTTCAATGGCTGTCTTGATGACTCCAGCGTACACAGCCAGGATGGAGAGAATGACGCAAGCCAAGAACACCAAGGCCAGCTTGTTGACGTACTTCACCCCAACAAACACTACAGTGGCCATGGAGGTCAAAAGGATGGTCCCATACACTCGCATGTTGTTGAGCAAGGCCGCTTCCGCCTCTGGCCCCTCCAGACCCTCCAAGGGGAAGATGGCAGCTTTTGGCACTATGTAGATCTGTAATGGTCAAATGGATCATGGAGTTAGGTGGAGGGAGGTGAGATGTCCTCTTTTGGTTGCTATGAACAGCTTTTTCACAGCGTTCTGGCTTTTGATATGTAGTGACCTGCTATTCCAATTAGTGTACATGTTATGATTGATATTAAAAATTGTAAATTTACAGTAAATCTACTTAGGTAAATTATAAGATTAACTTTATCCACTCTAGTCACCCTGGTGGGGAACTACTTTTTACATTGTTCTCATAAAAGTTTGGTATAGTTTTATCGTTGCTCAAGGGCGACTTGAGGTTGTTTTGGGAGTTGAAGATTGCCCATTCCTTGTCACATGTTGGATTGTACCTAGGGATAAGAACTGGCAGCTTTGGGCCACAAAGCTGTTTCTCTAGCGCATAGTTTTTTTAATAGATTCTGTTCTGAGAGGGACAAGAGAACATCAGCAGGATCAAAACGGATGCAACAACTGACCTCAGTCTCACTGCACTATTTGGTACTGAAAGTATCTGTATTTTTACTGTATATTTTATTTGCCATATCCTATATCAGACTTTCATGTTAATGGAAAAACACTTGTACAAATGGAAGTATGTATGTAAAATTTATGGGATTATCAAATTACTTGATTAACATTTTGTTCACAGAATACTTTCCCGATTGGTCTTGTAATTTGTAAACTTAAATATTTCTGTGATAACTGTTTGATTTTGTTACCTGCTGGATTTATCCTGCTTGGAAAACTTTGCCAAAAGGTATTTTCATGTACAATACGAGAATATGACATTAGCAGTTCTCCAGCGGAGCAGCATACAGCCTACTGAATGCTATTTAAATTCATGTTAATTAAAGAACTCAAGCATGGTAATAATATTTTTAATGAGGTGCCAATCTCTCACTTCTACTATGGCTAACGCTAAGAATATTCCTACCACATATAAAACGGGAAAGCCCTAATTAGCCCATCAGAATCTGTCATCGTTTCAGATGATTCACGGCCTGTTACATAACCATGGGAGTTTCTGCCTTTTAATGATCAGCATGATAATGACTACGTAGCAACAATTATTGACAAGCACCAGTGGACAGTGGTGTCTATGTTGTGGCTGGGCAGGCTAATGGGATGCTAAAAAGAGGCATATCACTAGGCAAACAAATCACCGCAAACAATTCTCGCTTCCTAAAATAGCAGCTTGGGCTTGTGTTCTTGGGTGGAAAGATGAAACATATTCAAATGAGCCTTCACCAGATCTGCTCCTCACTATTCTTCTGGGATTGTTTCTTTACAATGGAAAACTAAGCCAGCGTTGACCCAGAAGACAGAATTAAACTCTGGGTAGCCATTAGAGGAATCCAGAAGAGGATATATAGCAGAGGACGGTGTGTATCTTGACAACACTGAACTCAAACGATGCTTGGTTTTTGCTGACCAAGTCTTGATCATCCACTAATGCAGTACCAGTGTAATTATCCAGCATTCATGTTTTGTGAGGGAGAAGCAAAAGGGTTGTACAATTAAGAGCATGGGAGTGATAAATATAATTGGTCTCAATAAGAGGTAATGATAAAAATAAGATGAAAGAACATTATGTGTATGGTACAAAACAGAACAAGCTTCACTTAAGCCATTAATGATTAGAGATAATGGCTAAACATAGAACAGGCTATTACAGTGGGATGGCTTGGGCTGAGTTACACTTTATGAAATAAAGTTAATGGATGGGAAGGGACAGCAGAAAAATAGCTTCTTTGTACTTAGACTCTGCACTGATCTATTCTCAGCAGACATCTGGCTTTGTTGTGTGGATACCTCTCTCCTGATTTTATCACTTTCATTGAACCATCTCTAACACGGCCAATAGTAAAATCAAAGCTGACAAAATCTGCCATGCTTATTTAGCATCATTTATCTAAAAAAGCCTCATTTTTAGTCTTAAAACATAATTTTTTCCTCATTAGAACATGTTATGTTCAAGGTTCACTAAACCTTACACATCAATATTGATTTTTAACAGTTTTATTTATCTTAAATTTGATATTTCCTATTCAGCTTTGCATATATTTAGTTTGTACTAAAAGGTACTCTTTTATTTTAAGTAGAATAGTGTCCCTTGAACATGTTATGTTCAAGGTTCACTAAACCTTAAACATCAATATTGATTTTTAACAGTTTTATTTATCTTAAATTAGATATTTCCTATTCAGCTTTGTATATATCTGGTTTGTACTAAAAGGTACTCTTTTATTTTAAGTAGAATAGTGTCCCTCAAGACTACTATGCATAAAAGCCTTGTAGGGCTGCTGATTAATAGCAATTAATCAATTATTAAAGTAGTTGTCAATTATTTCAGTAATCATCTGGTTCCAAAACATGCCATAAGCTGAGATAAGAGGTTTTATGACTCAGACAGATCAAGAATAACAAAGGTAATATGTAAATGTAACGTTTTTACAGGCCTTTCGCAATCTAAACAACTGATCAATCAATCAAGAGAATAATCGTTACATTAACCAATCAAATACTTAGTTGCCTTAAAGCTTTATAAAGACATTTTGTCTGTAGCTAATACCCAATGACCACGTACCATGAAGCGATTTTGTGTGTTAATAATGCCAACCCAATATCTTTACATAAGATAAGTGCAGCATTTTGGGATTATAAAATTACTGTAAAATGTTCAGTGGCTATACGTTGGCTACTTTGGAGAGTAGGACTTGGGACCATGGGGCTACTCCATTGATCTGAATCCAGGTGGGCTTTTTCCTGTGAAGATCAGAGTGTCTCTCACCAAGAGCAGCTCGATGGCTCCCAGGATGTACATGGCACCAGCATATGTGGTCCCCAGATAGAAACAGATCCCCACTGCTCCTCCGAACTCTGGGCCCAGCGAGCGCGAGATCATGTAGTACGAGCCTCCCGCTACACAAACACAACAAACAGGATGTCAGCACAGTGTAGTACTCTAGAGTTGGTTAAACTGTGATGGTGATCGAAAGCAAAGTAAAGCATTGTATTTCCAAAAGTGTGCTGTGTTTCTGGTCTGGCATGGTAAAAAACTTGTGGTTTTGGAAATAATCTGTCCCATATGTATTAATTAAAGGTTGTATGGAGGATTTTTTAGTTTGTTTCAAATTGTCAATGATAGATTATAGAGATGCAGTAGCCTTGTAATTATGATTAAAAAAAAGAGAATAAAAATTCATCAACTCTGGACGTGGTGGGGCTAAACATTTGCCAATAGATAACGACACTGCCTCGTTATCTGTTAGCTGACAGGCTGTCAATCAAACTCCCTACGTTTCTAGCGTAACTGACTTGCCTGCGTGCTGCCATTATGTGGTTTAAGTACGCCTTTCACGCAGTCCACAGACGCACAAACGCTGTTTACTCCACCAACGCAACAGTTCTTAGCGGCTTTTTTGACCTATGTCAATATATATATATTCCTCGCAGTTAGCACAAAGTTTGTTGCAATGGCAGACAAGAATCCAGGAACAGTTAGCAGCAAAAGAAAGTCCATTTTTGAGGTCGCTGAAAGAAGAAGACAAGGGGAAAAGCAGCAAAGCCAAACTAAAGTGATTCTTGGAGATTCATTCCAGTGATGGCGCAACTGAAGCAGACGAAGGGTCTAAAGACTGACGCACTGGTCCACAAATGACTTCTGGACAGGAAACTTCTGCTTATTATGAAAATGTACTTTATTTCCAAGAGCTAGACAAACGTTTTTCAAGACACGGATGCGATATCCTATGTCTGAAAACGTAATTTTCAAGGCAAAGAAAGAGTCCGCTTGCTGCTGCGTGTTGTAGCTAGTTCATTCGCACGGAATCTCCGTGCACCCCTCTCTGCACCCCTTCCTGCTCCTCTCCCCGCTGCCCGATCTGCTCTTCTCCCTGCTCCTCACTTCTTCTCGGTGCACGGAATCTCCGCGCACCGCTCCCCTCTCCTCTCCCCGTTCCGTTCTTCTCCCTGCTCCTCACTTCTTCTCCGCGCACAAAATATCCGTGCACCCCCTCCCCCCGCTCCTCACTTCTCCGTCTTGCCTAACCAACACTGTAGTTAGTTGTTTACAAGTCATGTGCAGCGCACCGGCTGTAATCAAACCTGTTTCTGGCGTAAGGTGGAGGAGGGAGGAGGCGTTAGGGTTAGGGAGCATGCGCAACATTTGAAAAAGGACAAACAGTCGCTGGATTTCTCGTTCCTTGGAAAATCCTCTATACAACCTTTAATCAATGTCTTAATCAGGGAGTTCCAATCCAATCCAGATTTATTTGTATAACACATTTTATAAACAAGATAGTTTCCAAAGGGCTTCACACAGCAATGTAAAACATTTAACTCTAAAAAGTAAAAAAAAATTAAATAAAATAAGATCCAGACAAAAGGAATTAATAGAAACAATACATACAAAAATTATAATAAAATGTATTTAAAAAATAATAAAAATCAATTAATAAAAGCATTACTAAAAAGAATTAAATAGATAAAAAGCTATAAAATGAAAAAAAATATATTATAAATATAAGACACAGAAGACCACAGAATTCATGCGGTGTAAAAAGCTAAAAAATAAAACTGGGTCTTACGATGAGACTTATAACACTCCACTGTGGCTATCATAGTTTTTCATCATATATCATTTTGAATTGATAACTATTCTTCTAATTGGGAATTAACTTTTAACAGTAGATGATTCTCTCTTTTTTGTCTTGAGTACCCCCTAAGCTTTGTCTCACACTCTAGGTACCCCTGTTTTGTTAAGAAATATCTGATGAGTTATTGCCATTATATACTTGTTTTATGACATTGTTGTCAGTTTAATCTCTTCTTTAAAATCCCAAATCATTCCAAGTAGATAAGGTCCACCTATTCCTATTTGGGAAACACTGTATGGAGAAATAGTACAGTCAGTGGCTGTGCACAATCTTTTTAATGGGCATACAATACCACCCTTTTGCACAAGCCTATAATTTCTACTCAGTAGGATGTTCAGTAACCCATAATACATAAACCACCAAAATTAACCATATAGTATGTTACACAACACAAGGAGGTGTAACTTTGTGTTAGGGCAGCAATGATTAATTAGCATAACTGTGACTAATCGACTATTAAAATAATTTTGATAATTGTAATACTTATCTGGACAACACATGCAAAACATGCTTTATCATATCATAGGGGGTGCATTAGGACAAAATAGCAAAACAGACTTACAATACAAACTATTTGTAAATATTCTAGAAGCCTTCTGTCACCATAGTTTTTAATGGTTTAAAATGTATTCTGTAGAACAGAAATAAATGTTTGACATTCCTACTTTATGTAAATCTTATGTCGTGTGAACAATCCCAAGCTAAATCTGGGCTGGGTTAAGTATATGATGCCAAATACAGACAGTGTAACGAAGGAATCTGAAGCTCAAACAGAGAAGAAGACTGTGTGGTGCCAGCGTCTGCTCACCCACCTGGCACAACTCCATTGGTTGCAATGGCACTCATGGAGATGGCAGTCAGCATGGTCTGGAGAGGCAAAGAAAACAATAGAAGATTAGCCTATTGAACTGTAACACAAACAGTAACACAGTGTAATACTCTACTCACGAGTAGAGATTGATATGCTTTGGGGTTTTTTGCTTCAGACATTATATTTTTGTTTATATTTCTTGGCTATATTGTTATTTTAGTTATGTAATTGTGTAACTCAACTGTTACCATTGATTTGTATGTCAGACAAGGACTTCTCATAGGGACACCAGTTCAATGTGCTTGGTTGTTGATTAGATAAACAGTAATGCCACTGGGCCGGCTTGAATGCTATCTCTAATATTGACTGGAGAGAATAATACACACTCACACACACAGAAATCCTGAGAAATATAAGGGTATGCCTGAGTGGAGCTGACACACTGTAGCCTCAGAGCCCCAGAGCAGAACAGAGGAGACAGAGAACTGAAGCAAGGCTCACAACAGCAGAAAGAGGCAGAAAAATACACAGTGACGAACAGACAGACAGAAGAGAAGGCCCAGAGAGGTGCTGCCCTGAATGCAAACCTTTGTGTTATAATGTTAATACAGTTAAAGGGAAGGTATATGTGCATGCACCTAGTGGTTTAAAAATGAGCTACAATCACAATTAAACCTGGGTTGCTAGTGCTTTATCCTGCATATAGAGGACACATACACATTTTCTCACTCAATATATGGACAGGCCATGCCTCATGAGTGCTCAGTGTGATGAATGCTTGGCTGCAGGTGCCCGGTTTGATAATCATCTTGAATGGTGAATGTTAATATGGCACCTGTAAACAAGCTGAAGCTCATGAATAGAATGTTGTGAACCCCCCTCACACAAACCCGGGTGTTGTATGATGGAGTATCAACAACTTTCTGTATTGTGCAGTAGTACTACAGTAAAACCTTGTAGTTCTTTGTTCAGATGTAGTTACTTTGGAGTCACATTGAAACACAAAGAACCATATAATATCAAACTCTGGCAACAGAGAATTTGAGTCTATAGCAGTAATTTTGATCATCTAATTGGACAAACATGTTCAGTGTCACCTTTGGGCACAGTGGACAAACCATAGACACTGATGTGTGTGAACAACAACTCCCCCTCTCTAATGTGCTCATAATGAGATCCACCCCACAGCAGATAAGACTGTAATTATTTAAGTGTTTTATCTGATGAGAGCCACGCATACACTGCCAGCCCATGGTCAGATGGCGTTAAGATTCTAGTAACAATCCAGTAGCCCTAAAACTGTCTTACAATGTTTTATTCTTTACACTTGGGTTCATGTTGTCCTAGTTTTATTTCTTTCATCAACCTCTAGCCGTCAGCACAGACAGGGGTATTGGCCATCATCATCAATCACTGGGTGCCACAAACACAGGAGAGGGCACATAGTATGTTGCCCTCTGAATAAGTTTCAACTCACTTTGGACCAAATTAGGGATGGGTTAATGAAGAGGTGCATGACATTATGGTGGCTGAGTGGTGGTCTATTTGTGTGTAAGAATGCAGACACCTGGTATGGTTATGGCACAGTAGGGAGCAGTGTATTCTTCCCACTGACCCACAGCCTGTGGCCTGTTTTACTGTCCCACTTTGAGACTGTTCAGGTAAAGTAATGGAGGCTTTCAGGGTTTATGATGGAGGATAAAATGGGTTTATGTTGACACAGTGGCTCGAATAAAAGCTTGTGTAAGCAAGTCAAACATGGCTTTATTCTAAGTGAGGCACAGCCTCAGTGCATAAAAAAACATAGTCATACATTTTTAAATCAAATAACTGCCAAACAACTCAAGGTCTTTCATTATCTAACATGAACATTATACACCAAATTACTGTCAATTCAGAGATGTTTTTATTCATTCAGTTGGATAATTGTATTGCACATTTTGATTAGGATTACGCAAATAAATAGCTTTTATATGATCTTTAAAGTTGCACTATTCTGCCTAGCAATTCCACTTTATGAGAGAAATGTTTTTATCTCTAAAGATATTTAAAGCAGACATTCTTACAGTGAATGAAGTTGCCTATCCACAGATCTAACTTGTAACTTGGCTTCATAGTGTCACCTTGTCTGAATTGAAATAGAAAACTTTAATGCCAAACTGTGAAATATGTGTGATAAACCAATAACATTTTCATGGAGACAGCAGGTGGTGGAGTCTAGAAAAGTTCCATAGAGGACCTTTAAATGAAATGTTTTTATGAATTGAGTTTTGCTTTCAGTCAGCTCTCACATTAGAGACACTCCTATTGTTGTTTATTGCTGTTGAAATAAACATGTGTTATTCCAGTGCTACAGGTGCATGAGCTTTCGGCACACTTCTTTTGTTAATTGCACCATAAAACCTCTAAAAATGGACCTGTATTTTGGGAAAGCGACCTTGTTCGAGGGGTTGTATGATGCTGCAGATGAATACTGAACCTGGTTGCTCTATTGCTGCAGGTAGGACAATGCAGATGAGCAGACATTAAACTCGAGGACGAACTGGGACAAGAGACTGTGCACGCTGTCGCCCACCTACTCAAGTCAAACAACAGGGGGCACCAGACCGGTTCCAATATCTTGAACAAAGCTGAATGTGACCTTGAGAGACTGTTTTTTTTTTTAAAGATAAACAGGTGACTATTATTCTATTTATTTGGTGATAGTGTAAGACATGGCAATATGATTTTTAGCAAGGTCTTATAAAGATATACTATGTAACTTTTCAGATGGTACACCACGTGATGGTGGTTCCACACACTATGGCGATCTATTCTGCCTTTAGTCAATTACATCCTGAAAAACAAGCACTCTTACTGGGTCACCTCTCCACAGATCTGACCTGTAACATGGTAGCATGTCTCCAGGAAGATAGATAAGTTTAATGTTATATTGTGGAAGATTCTAGGAGTGATTAGAAAGGTGGCAGACCCTCCTAGAAAAGTAACATAATTACCCTTTAAAACACATCATTCACAACTTGCCATGTCATGTATTAATCATCAAATTACTGTTGGACCACAATGCAATAATTCTACTTTCTCTTCCCTCAAATCCACAAAGTCTCACTTGGCCTCTGTTTGACCTTGGTGCTGAGTGGAAATTTTTTGACAGACACTGAGATCTGTAGAATCTCCGAGAACATGTTTCATTAGCATGCTTCATTACACAAACGCAGAATACTTTTGTCGTACAACTTCATCAATTCACGCACAATATAGTACACCACAAGCCTATTTTCAGTACTCTGTTTATCACTAAGAAATCCCAAAGGGCATATGATGCAAGCGACAGTGTCAGGTGAAGGAGAGCATGGCGAATTTTATTATTTTTTTTAAATAACAATGAGGGTAAAAAGTCACAAAACAGATCAAAAAGGACTAAGCAGCTGAAAGAGATGTCAGAGGTGGCATAGAACAGAACAAAAATACAAATGTAGGTCCAAAGAATGAAAGGCAGAGGAGGTTGAAAGAGAAAATAATGAGTCCAGCAAATCAAAAATGAGGAAGTGATGAGATGGGAGTGAGAAAAGCAGAAATGAATGAGAGAAAGTCATTCACAGCATTTAAATGAGTCACGACAGAGGGCAGACCACCCTTTGCTTTTCTCAGCACCAGGATCCAACAACTGGAAGTAATAAGGAAGAGCAAACAGCAGACGCCCCATCCCGAATATTAAAGCCCATTTTATCTCTGTGACAAGGCTGCATTTGTTATCTGTTCTAAAAATACATTCAGAGGCATGTTGGATAAAATACACTCCTCAGATGGGTGGCCGCTCACTGTGTATCGCTTCATGCTTAATGCGGTAATGTGTCAGAGCTGAAACATACACAGGAACATTATTCATATCATAATGTCTCCAGAAGAGAGCTAGGAGTCTCGGTAATGTTCTGTCAAAATGCTGCATGACGGAGTAATAACAGTGTTAAGTGGTTGACTGCTACAGACAAGCAGCTGTGATTGAGCATCTCAAGAAAAACTGACTCATGGGTAAAAGAATAAAACAGCCAGCCTTCTTCCAGTTTTTCTCCTCAAGAGAGATTTGCCTCTAAAAGTATAGAATGAATACATGACGTTGGATGTTACGTGCATAGTTAAAGAATGGGAAATTTTCACTCCACTGCAGATAAGCCAACTGGAACTGGGCTGAAACACTGGGCAACCACTGTAATGTGTTTAACTAACCCCTGTTGCTGGGGCAACCAGTAAGGGGCAGTGGGGGACAGTGACTTGATTTCTGGGGAGACCTTCTCCAGAAGGTGAAACGAGATCCAACCAGGACTATCTAATTGGACTCTGCTCACGATCCTTCCAGGACCCTTGTTAGAGGCACCTATAGCTGGAGGTGAAACTCTAGGTAAGGGCTGGAAGGCACAGAAGTTATACAATGAGAACACATAAAATCTGTGCATGTGTCATGGCTGTGTTGCAAGAAATGCACTATGCAATAGACATAATTTCTTCCAGATATTTCATTGTTGATAAAACAGCATCTACAAAGTTATACTTTTCTTAATTGGTAAACTTTTCATATTTGCATCTGCATCTTCAATCTGCCCATATCTCCTCTCTTATTTATAACACTGCCTAATACCTGCTTCAGGCCAGAGGAGCTCAAACATGCTTATTGCAGTGATTCCCTCACTTGTGGCTCCCTGATGATGTGACTGAGGAAGCATTTCTGTGTACATGTATGCAGTCAGACATGAGTGCGAGTGTGAGTGGGGGTGCACCCTGAGTCCCCTTTGGGCCCTTAGGTGTATGTGTTATGTAAGGAGCTCAGGAGGAGAGGAGAGGGGGGAGGTGGGGGTTTCACGCTCAGGCTTATCGCCCCGGGGCCCTGCTATGAGCTCTCTGTGACTGATAAGAGTGTATGTGTGTGTGTGTGTGTGTGTGTGTGTGTGTGTGTGTGTGTGTGCCAGCCAGACCGAAATAGAGTGACAAAATGAAGCGTGTGGAGTGGGGAGGGAGAGTATATGTTTGAACATGTGTAGCAGTGTCAGTGTCTGTGTGGGTTTGAGCGGCTGCCAAACCCACATCAACCTGTTCAGATGTCACCGACTTCTGAGCTCCTGCATATACCGCACTGCGCCTTTCTCTGCTATTTCTACAGAGAGCTAAAAACCAAATTGTGTTTCAGGAAATTACATGATTTTCCTTATATAAGCTTACTGAGAAAACTATCATCAAGAGTGAATTGGTTGGTTGATTAAATTAAAGGTGCACTATGTAACTTTTCAGGTGGAGAGTGTACTCCTTGCTTTTCTCCATGGAGATGTGTGCACTTTGCCTGTAATGTTCCACAGTACGTCATTAAGCTGATTTATCTCAATGGCACCAAGGACGTTATGCCACCAGGCTAAGTTACACGTCAGATCTGTGAAGAGACGAGTCTCCTAATAATTACAGTGAATGTTCTTCAAGGTCATTTTCAGGGTAAAACACATGTAATTAAAAACAAACAAACAAAAAAGCAAATAAAAAAACAGAAAAATGTAATCCCATTTGGAACATTTCAGGCAAAGCATGGAGACAAGCAAGTGGTGAACCCTAAACCATAAAAGTTAAACATAGAGCACCTTTACTGTCTGGGTAAAAAATCTTTAGGAAAAATCTTTACAATTTAGAAAAATCTTTAGACCACTGAATATGATTTTCTTTAACTTCATTATCTAAAACATAACAGCTTCTTATGTTTCTGTACGATGGTATTAATTTACAGCTTTGGATACTGTATTAATTTGCTTTTCTAGTGCTTTTTGGATCCTGAAGCTCACTGCCTTATAGCGTGTTATAGCTTGGATTTGGAGAAGGCTGTTCTATAAATACACTGTGTGCTGAAGGAGAATCTAGGCTGCACAAACACACACATAAACTCACACATACACCGACATATAGTGCAGTGTGGACATGACATACACTCGGAGAATTCAATAGGACATTCTTGTACCTTTTATTGAAATGCTCTATTCAGCTTTAATACGCCACCATGTTCACTGTCTACAGATTGAAGCTTGTTCATATAGGCTACTGTCACAAGAGCAGTAACAGGCGGAACGCAGCCAATTCTGTCTGTGCAAAGTACTGTATGTAACATTCACTAAGGGTATGGAGACTCAGAATCTGATAATGAGAGGATCTGACCAGTCACGCATATTGTGGGGTCATCGGAAGATAAGACAGAGGACAAATGCAGGACAGAGGGTCCACTCCTCACACGCCACAGCTCAGGGACATTAATGAGAACCAGGGATATCACAGTGTGCGTTGCCTCCATTTTGTTCTTTTCATCACATAGTATACAACTGGATTTGTACAGAAACACTGAAAACTGGTCAGATCATGCAACTTTAAAAATGTTACTTCCGAGTTTTTTGACACTTTTTTTTGTTTGTCAAGAACACTTACTGTGGCACAGCACATGAAGACGATGATGAAGGTCCCAATGACTCCTCCAATGCCCACCAGCCAGGTCATCCTGAGGAAGAGGATGACTCCAAAGATATTCTGGATACATGGCAGGTACACCCCCATCAGAGTGCCAAGTTGTGGAGCCTACAGAAGAAAAGAAATTATATTAATTTATTAAACAAACATTTACAAGGTAGGCCTTGTTGAGTGCTAACAAGAGGCAAGCAAACAGATTAGATTAGGTGTGAGTATAATACACAGATTGAAACAAATAAAATGTAATTAAATTAGACTGTATTTGGTCAAGACATGAGCTGCTTGTTTTTGAACTCCTTGTGATCTCAAATGTTTGATGTTCACATTTCAGAATAGGGAGATGCTCAGCTAAGTGTCATGTGCCTGTTTGCTCTGAGGCTGAGAGCAGATGTGCACAATTTACTCTGAGCCAGCTACTTTGAGTTTCAATAAAAACAACAAACACAGATCCCCCGTTGTGCATGGAGGGAGGCCAGTGATCTGATGCAGTTTTTGTGGTATACCTGTGTAAATTATTCAGTTCAAACAACAGCACACAATGCACTGCAGATGGTCATAACTCACTATAAGGAACAAGTGTACTAGCATTGTTGGATGCTGTAGTCTGGTGGTACTTTATTACAACCTTTTATTGCTAATTTCGCTGGAGGCTATAAAAATATTATTGAAAATTATCACATGGAAGCATTAAGTAGATTTTCACATCAGTAATACACAATTTGGCCAACACATTTTGTGTCACTCCATATCATCACCATCAGTTAATAAAAAATGAATTGTATCAGATTAGGTTTACCGACATTATATTTTACTATAATAGGGAATCCACAATGAGGATATCCACATGCAAGCTACATTGTCCTGTAATACACTGCTGAGATGTTGTGATAAACAAAATTAAACTAAAGTTGTTAAGATTTAGACAAGTTACAGTTCTGCTTCCAGTTGTATTTTGACTTCTCACAGAGGAAATTCTGTAAATAATTGAAGAGCTGGACATGGTGAGGCAGCCACTGGAGTAATGTGCCATTTTCTCCTTTTTGAGCTCATTTGATGCAGCGCTCCGGTTGAGTGGTGGGTGAATGGGGATATCTGTGTCATATTCAAAACCCTCCCCACTGAAGAATACGATTCCCTCAAGATTTCCAGGTTAATTCATGGGAATCGCTCAAGTTTGTATTTACCTTATCTCCAGTATTTCTTTACAGGAGATGTATGTGTGGTCAGTTATGGCTGTATTAAATCTGAAGGACACATGGCATAGGATGACCCAGTGTAAAAGAGCTATGCTGTATTCACACCCCACACAAGGACACATGGGTCAGTGTAGGATAATTATGACCCATTATGAATGATATCCAGCTGTGGTCCACTTTACAAAGAAAAGAGAGCGCACTTCAGCTGACATGTCATTGCATCACACACACGTTTTTGTGAAGATTTTCAGTCAGCACACTTTTTTGTTGAAACACACACATTTACTAAAATATAAAAATAACAGCTACCTTTTATCTTGAGTTCAGTAGAGATAGGCAATTCCAGGGCTGATCCAAATGGTGCTACTGAAGGTATGGTGTTTAAAATCACAGTGGAGCACATGTGCCTCAGTCTAAAAGTCTGTGTGTTAAACATGAACATGAAACAAAACTAAACTCCAGCTATATTTTTGATGAGGAAACAACATTATAAATAATATGGGACCTGTGGCAGTTATGACTATTTTTCTTTCTTTTTTGAATCAGAGGTTTGCTTCAAACTGAATTTAATTTAATTATTTATTTACTATGTGTTAACTCAATTGGATCAAATTGGACATTATTTTAAGACACCTGGCAATACCTAGAGGCATGACAGTGTTCTTCGACACACTGTTTGAAAATCAAAGTAGGTAACAAGGGTGAATGGTCATCAAAATGGCTCTCCCTCTACCAGCCCTACATGGCCTGCAGGTGAGTCATGCCTAAAGCTACTGTTTCAAAGGAAAAACACATCTGCTCCTGTGGTAATAGCAGTAATAGTAATACCAGAAGTAGTACCAGTAGTAGAGCAAATTACATTGTATTTCAGTGTGTATTTCAATATTATACATCATACACTTTCTTATTGCCTAAACACACATAATATACACTTACTTAGACCTGGTTGAACTTGACAGTGGCTGTTGCCCATTTAACATGTAGCAGGATGGCTCACATATGTAATGCTCATTAATATTTTGACAACTATCAAATGTTGAAATATTTTGCACTAGATGAAATTACAACAAAATAGAGGATTTATAAACAAAACTGTGCACTGTGAAGCATCATCCTATTCCAATTCCATAATCAAATCTGCCTGACAAGTGGGTGACATCAAATGAAGAATACTGTGTGCGTAATGCCACAATATGTGATTTGTTTGAAGAGGCTCGGTAAAGCATTAATAATAAACTGTCTGTGTGCATGAGAGGGGGAGCGAGCCCGAGCAGGCCTCACAAATATAATTATATTCTAATTTCCAGCAGATAAACAAAGAAGCTGCACTCGCCAAACTGCAATTAGCATGATTATCACGTGGGGGCTGCTTCTGGAAAAAGCAGCAAAGGCTTTACAACATGAGCGGTCACACCATATCTTTATATAGCACACTTACATAAGGCCCACACTCTTTTGTTTGCTTCCAACTAACAATAAATTATACCTCTTCTTCTCACGCCTTTCCAGTGTTGGTGTAAACTAAGTAGCACATCGAGTAGCGCTATATTCACTTACTCATACTCATCTTTAGTCCACACATATCCCAGGGAAATGTCTTCTTCTGTGAGGGAATTGTAAATGCAGTTATGTTTTATTTGAAATTATTGCTGCCTGAGGGACATTTACTCAATACTGCATCATGTCAAAAACATGATTTTTCCTATTTCTTATATAACAAATAAAAAACAAAGAAAGGAGTTGGGATGTCCTGGATATCTATTTGGAAATTTAAAATCTTTTAATAGTTATTTATCTTGATTTTGTTAGCATGTTTATTATTATTCTCCTGTGGTTCTTGAACTTTACATTGCAACCATAGACTGCATAGTGGACTAAGTAACAAGTTAGCTATGTCAATTTATATATAGTCTATGGTTGAATCATTGTAATTTCCCCATTGTGGGACAAATAAAGAGGTAAATACTTTTACTACCATAGGTTTGTTTTAGTCCTGAGTTTGCCTATCATTTCATTTGCTGATTTTCTCAATCTGGATCTATATTCTTAAACAATTCATGAATTTAATATTTTGCACCACTTACAATTAAAAACATGTTTACTCAGCTCAACTAATTAAATTGGTATGTGTTAAAAAAAAAAAAAAAAAAAAAGGAAGTTTAATACCAGTGCCATCACTCAGCATAGCTAGCTCCTTGACTTCAGTTCTGTGCCAGGACCCACACCTCAAACATGATCCACGCAGAGTTGAACATCATGTTCTAGAACTTTCAAATGCATGGCCAGAAAGCAATTACGCTCAAGCCCAAAGTTATTACAATCAGTGGAAGGGCTGATGGAAGAGCAGCAGAAAATACATCAGGCGCATATCATTCATATTGGCTGCAGCTTACTCAGCTATGCATCAGATACAGTTTGCTGGATGTTGATTCACCAAATCAATAATAAACACATAAATCATTTAACATGACAAAATATATTTAGTCTGGTGCACTGTAAACTGTCTTGGATGCCTTGCTTTTGATTAGTAAAAAAATAAATAATAATTCTCTCCACTCTTGCCAACTTGCTTGCTGGTTCGAAGCCATTATGGAACTAGAGCCAAAAGAACCTACATGATTGGACAATTTGATATACTGTGTTATCTATCAAATACTTTGAATTTAATAAAAAATGAAGTTGTTTTTGGCTTTTCAGTTTAATAGTTCAGCGATAACAATATAGGATGAGTAGTGTCAGTTTAAAACATATAGGATAGACCCCGTCCCACTTTAGGATCAAAGCAACAGACTCACAGATTAACATGTCTTTGATGCATTCATGTGGTCCCGCCAGGCTTGTCATGTCATTTGGACAGGTGTTCTGTACAGCCTGTGCTCCATAGGGCTACAATATAATGTGCAGCCTTGCCTCTTTACCGCTCCGTCATGTCTGCGGGGGGCGTCTCAAGCTGAAGCCGTACTGTGCTTTAATCAAAGATCACGTCAGGGCCTCCACAGGCTGCCGAGGGAGCGGCTGCAGGGACCCGGGAGAGCGCGCCTCGTCCATCTCTGTCGGATCACCCCCCACACACACACAGATACACACAAATCATGCACAAATACACACACATAAACCCACATCATACAAAGAAATGCACACATACACAGTTCAGTTTGGGAAGCATTCTCACAGTGTGTCATCTCAGTCATGCAAATCACACTGGGACAGTGGGACTCGCTATGGCTGTGCCCTTCAGTGTGTGGCATAGACGGTTTTTCATCATGTGCTGTCAGCTGACTTAATACAGATTTAATTCTATTTAGCAGAAATCCTAAAATGGCTACCAACAATTGAGTTAAAAAGAAAACACCGAAAGCAACAGTAAGCAAAAGTTAAAGCATTTCTCTTGTAACCAGTGTAGCTGAGACATTTGTCTTTTCTTTGCATGTATATTCTTTGCATTGCTCCCAAACTCCTTCTCTAAAGACAATCATCATTATTTTAGTCTTAAATGAACATACTACTTTATCTAACCTATTGATCCCCTTTTGCTACCCTTCTAACTGTGGCCTAACAGTAGTGCTGTAATTAAATGTGGACAGGTGTCTGTGGCGGCTCCTTCAGGGACTTGGTGAGTAGTACACTGTGGACTAACAGTCAGGTGTTACAGCCAATAAGGTCCACCTGCCATCAGCACTTTGTAGTGGGCCATAATAGTGCTGAGGCTGCAGAAAGAGGTCAGTGAGGAATAACAGAGGAAACCCTGAGCATTTACATAATAATGTTACGTTTATCAGAATGGACCATAGTTAAAATACATCCCAAACTTCTATAGTGCCCTTTATACTCTGGACTCAAGCCTCCCAGTGTGCTTGTTGCTTTTGTTTAAAACCATTTAAATTGAGAGATTTTTGGTGATTGGCTGTAGGT